AGCGGTGTGGTTAGGTGGGGGAGGTGATGGTGGTAAAGGATATTAGTTCTTGGAACGATTTGCTTAGATGTTGGTTTTGGGGCTGAGGGATGGATTGTTGAGAGGGGTTGTTGTTATATAGGAGGGGTGGTTGTATGTATGGGGGGGTTGTGTAAGGGTGGTGTGTGATAGGGGGTTTGTGTAAAGAGGGGGTTTGTATAAGGTGGAGGTGGTGGGGGAGGTTGTGATGGTGTAGTATGAGGGAGGTGTGTTAAGGGAGGGAGAGGTTTGTAGGTGATTTTGTGATAGAGGGGTGTTAGAGGTTTTTAGGGGGGGTGTTGGTTAGGGGGAGGTGATGTTTTGTCATCATGAGGGGGGATGTTTTGGTTTTTACAGATGGAGTGGAGGGGTGTGTTTTGTCATTATTACAAGCGATGGGGAGTTTTGTTGGTATAAAAAGGGGGAGGGAGAGGTGTTTTTTTTATATAACCCGGGTGGTGGGTGGTTGATGGGTTATAACGGGGGGGTGTGTGTGGGTTAATATACAGGGTGGTTTGGGGTGATATGGGTTTTACAGGGGGGGGGTTTTTATATTTGTATACAGGGGGTAGTTTTTTGGGGATTATACAAATTTTGATGATGGATTATTTCATGGGTAGGGAGGTGATATGGGTTATATCTGGGGAGTGGAGGGGTGTGTTGGTGTTATCATAGGTAGAGCTGTTTTTGGTATATCATTAGGAGAGGGGCGTGTTTTTTTTATCGCGGGAGGGAAGTTGTGTTTGGGTTTTATCATATGAGAGTGATGTTTTTATATCAGGTGATGGGGGGGTTTTCGTATATCATGTGGGTGGGGATGTTTTGTTGGGTGGTTAACACATAGGGGGGGGTTGTTATGGTGGTATATCATATGGAGGGAGGGTTGGATTGTATCATTAGGGAAGGAGGGTGTGTTTGATCATCATGGTGTGGAAACGGTTGATGTGGTTTAACATATAAGGGGGGGTTGTGTGGGTGTTTTAACAGTGGTGGGGGGTGTGTGGGGTGTATTTATACAAGGGGGTGTTGGGTGATGGGTGATTTATACGAGAGGGTGGATGATGTTATAACGGGGGTGGTTGTGATGGTTTGGGATTAGAGGGGGTGTGTGTTTGGTGGTAAAATTAAGATTTTTTGTGATATATTTATAAAAGGTTTTTTTTATATCATTTAAAAATTTTTTTTATATCATGAAAAAGGGGTGTTTGTATCATAAAAATTTTGTTTTATCATATTTTAAACCTTTTGGCTTTATACATTTTAAGGAATCTTGTTTTTATATCATTTTTTTAAAATTGTTGGTGTTTATTACGAGGGAGGGGAGGGAGAGGTGATGATGGGTGGTATATACTGAGGGGGGGGAGGGAAGGTGTTGTTTGGGTGGTATAAAAAAGAGGGGGGGAGGGGAGAGGTGATGAGGGTGGTATAAAAAAAGGGGGAGGGGAGGGAAAAGGTGATGTGCGTGGTATATACATGGGGAGGGGAGAGGTTTATGATGGGGGGTATTTCATGAGGGAGGGTGATGATGGGGGGTTTATAAAAAAGGGAGGGGGGGGGGAGGGAGAGGTGATGAGGGGTGGTATTAATGAGGGAGGGGAGGGAGAGGTGAGGGAAGGGTGGTAAAAACCCAAGAAGGGGGGGGGGGAAAAGGTGATAGGGGTGGTATATACATGAGGGAGGGGGGGGAAAGAGGTGATGATGGGTGGTATTAATGGGGGAAAGGGGAGAGGTGGATGGGTGGGTTATACAGAGGGAGGGGAGGGAGGGTGATGATGGGGGTATAAACAAGGGGGGGGGGGGGAGGGAGAGGTGATGATGGGTGGTATAAACAAGGGGAGGGGGGGGGAAAGGGGTGATGATGGGGGGTTTTATACAGAGGGAGGGGGGGGGAGAGGGAGATGGGTGGTTTATACTTGAGGGAGGGTGATGATGGGTGGTATAAACAAGGGGAGGGGAGGGGGGGTTGATGAGGGGTTGGTATAAACAAGGGGGGGGGAGGGGAGGGTGATGATGGGTGGTAAAAAAAAGAGGGGGGGAGGGGAGGTGATGATGGGTGGTTTTTTAATGAGGGAGGGGGGGGAGGGGGTGATGAGGGTGGTATATACATGAAGGGGGGGAGGTGATGAGGGGTTTGGTATATACATGAAGGAGGGGAGGGTGATGAGGGTTTTGGTTATACTTTGAAGGGGGGAGAGGTGTTTGAGGGGTTTGGTTTATACATGAAGGAGGGGAGAGGGGGTGAGGGGTGGTATATACATAAAGGGAAAGGGGAAAGGAAGGGTAAATTGGGGTGGTAAATACATGGGGAGAGGGGGATGTGGGTGGTTTAAACAAGAGGGAGGGGGGGGGGGCCCGGCCCAGCCATGGTGTGTCTGGGTGCCCGGACAGTAAACTCGGGTTTTTCATCTAGTCTAGGGGGACCCACAACCTTTGTGGTACCTGACTTAACACTCTTGTGAGCCCCTCAAACACCTGATTTCACCTCCATAGTGCCCGGGTGAAAAATTTTCCCCAATTTTAAGGGGTTTTTTCCCCCTTCGGTCACAAAAAAAAACCGGGGTGGTGCTGAGGGGCAAAAGAAAATTGCAGACAAAAAAAAATGGGGGAAATTGTTGTCTTGGTTCAGGACGGTGACGCACATTTTAAAAAATCCCCCACTGAAGATGATTTTTAGCAAAGTTTAAAGGTGTAGGGGAAAAATTGACATAAAGTGTACTTGCTGATTATTACTGGGATGGAGGAGAAGGGGGGAAAAAAAAGGGCCTTAAAAAAAAAAATTTTTTTTTTAAAACGGTTTTTGGGTTTTAAAAAGTTCTTTCCTAATTTGGGTTGGGGGGGGCCCCCCGGTGCCCCTGCCCCCCCCGACACTACTAACAAAAAAATTTTTGGTTTTTGGGGCCCTTTTTTTTTTAAAAAAAAAAAGGGGAAACCCCCCTTTTTTTTTTAAAAAATTTCCCCCCCCTCGGGTTTTTTTTTGGGGGGGGGGGGGGGGGTTTTTTTAAAAAAAAAAAAATTTTAAAAAAAAAAAAAAATTTTTTTTTTAAAATTTTTAAAAAAAAATTTTTGTTTTTTCCCCAAAATTGAAAAAACCCCTAATTTTTTTTTCCCCAAAAGGCCCCAAACCCCTTTGGGCCCCTTTTTAAAAAAAACCCCCCCCCCAAAAAAAAAAATTTTTTTTTAAAATTTTTGGGGGGCAAAGGGTTTTTTTAAAAAAATTTTTTTTAATTTTTTTTAATTTAACCCCCCAAAATTTTAAAATTTTGGGGGAAAAAAATTTAACCCCCCCCCGGGGAAAACCCGGCCCTTTCCCGGGTTTCCCCCAAAAACCAAAAAAACCCCCCCAAAAAGGGGGGCCCCGGGTTTTAAATTTTAAAAAAGGGGGGGGAAAAAATTTTTTTTTTTAAAAATTTTTTGGGGGGGGTTTCCTTAAAATTTTTTGGAATTTTGGGGGGGTTTTAAAAAGGGGTTTGGCCCCAAAACCCCGGGTTCCCAAACCCCCCCCCCCCGGGGGGGCCCCCCGGGGGGCCCTTTTTTTTTTTAAAAAAAAAAAAGGGGGGTTTGGGTTTTTTTTTTTTTTTTAGATAATTTTTTAAAAATTTTTTTTTTTTAAATTTTAAAAACCCCAAAGGGGGGGGGGGGGGGGGGGGGTTTCAAAAGGGTTTTTTTTGGAAAAAAAGGTGGGGGGGGGAAAAAAAAAAAACCCCTTTTTTTAAAAAAAGGTTTTCCCCCCCTTTTTTTTGATTATTCTAACAGGTTGAACAATAAATCCAGGGGTATTTTCGATTACATACCCCCAGTAGATTGCTCAACATGCCCCCATACCCACTTCACTAGACTCGAAATCGCCCCTACCACTCGTGTTGGGTACCAATATAACTTCAAAAGATGTCAAGATAAGATCAATAGCTTGGTTTTACATTACATATGGATAGCTAGGAACAACTGGTGACCTTTTAATTTAACAATCACATTTTTTAAAATTGTTCAGAGTACCATACCCCTATTTGATTCCCATGCCCCCAAGGGGTATGGATACCCCAGGTTAATACCCGCTGGTCTACGGGTTCCAGCAGCATACATTAAACTATCCATTATCACCTGACTCCACCTAGCAGCTAAAATAATGACCACGAATTCATTAATTATCGAGGGTAAGCTGTGAATCTGTGGCATGGATGATTTAATACGCAGCAGAGAAGGCTGACTTAATACCTTGGATCAAGAGCCTTTCATAAGCAGTGCCCCTCATGGAAGGTTCCTTGATGTTGGTGAGGGGCTCTTGATTTAGGGAATTGGAACTGTGCTCCAGTTCCCCGAAGTAAGCCTGAATGCCTTCCACATCCCCCCCCCCCCGGGCGCTGTATAATCCTACGGGTTTAGCGCTTCCCCTTTGATTATAATAATAATCATAAGCAGTGGAAATAAGTCACTGTGACGTTTCTGGGTTATCCCAGGTTCTATGTATGATAATCTTTACGATAATCTATATAACTGTATTTGTGTATACCTGAATTAACTTACTCTCAAAGGACTGACCTTGACTGGGGGGGAGGGAGGGGGTTGATTCAACAGTTACAACAAAGTATGTTCATGAGTGATGATAAAATCTTGAAGCTGCAGACCGAGGTGGGTTCAGGTTCAATGCAGACAAAAGACATTTTTAAAGCAACCTTGATTTGTCACTCCATCTTTCGACTTTGTTACCTCATAAGTTCAACCTTCACATCAAGTTAACTTGCTCCAGCCTCTTAGCCTTGCGCCAAACCCGTATAACCCATGCAAATTTGATGATTTTTTTTTTTTACTCTTTCAAAGGAGGCCTTGATGCCGATGAAGGGCTCCTTATTCAGAAATTAGACCCCTCAAGGGAGGTTCCTTGACGCTGGTGAGGGGCTCTTGATCCAGGGAATTGGATCTGTGCTCCAGTTCCCTGAATTAAACCAGAATACCTTCCATCCCCCCACAGGCGCTGTATAATCCTACAGGTTTATCGCTCCCCCGTGATTATGATAATAATAAAAATCAGAAATTGGAGCTAATCTCTCTCATGCCTCAAATATGATTACCTCCTAGATAGACTTTAGGGAGGTGTCTTGGTGCTGGTGAACACCTTGTTACAACTAATTGTGGCCACCCTCCCATTCCTCGGATCAGACATAATTATCTTCACATCTCCCATTCCCAAAATATCGTATATTGCCTACAAATTTAGCTCCTCGTGACTATAATGCTAATAGGGTGGAACCTCAAAAATCGAATGTATCACATCAAACGTTTCGAAAACAGGACATTTTTTTCGGACAAACTGTGTCCCTATTATCGAACGCGCCCCTATTTTCGGACTGCCGGATACGGGACATGTCCATGGGCCCGCTTTGTCCGCGTCCCTGCGCAGGCGCCATGAGCAATCTAGCTTTGTTTATGCTTGAGTGAACACTAACCTGCACTCTCATTCACACATTTTACGATTATTTCATTGTGTTTAGTGTTTGTGGGACTGTGAAATAAGCTGCCATGGGCCCAAAGAAACTTGCTAGTGTTACCCCTGTGGTAAAGAAAGTGAGAAACACCATAGATGTGAAGAAGGAAATAATACAAAAGTATGAGAGTGGTGTGAGACTTGTTGAGCTTGCCAGGATGCATGGGAAAAACAAGTCGACCATCGGTTCTATCCTGGCAAAGAAAGAACAAATCAAGGAAGCTGATGTTGCGAAAGGTGTTAATATGCTAACCAAAAAAAGACATGGTGAGGCAGCCAGTTCAGACAAACGGGCGGCTAAGAAGTTTGTACAGGAGTTTAAGGGGTACATAGACAGTGAAGAATTCAAACCTTAACAAGTGTTTAATTGTGACAAAACAGGCTTGTTTTGGAAGAAAATGCCAAAAAGGACCTTCATCACACAGGAGGAAAAGGCACTGCCAGGACACAAGCCTATGAGACAGGCTTACTCTTTTGTTCTGTGCTAATGCTAGTGGTGCTTTTAAAGTGAAGCCTTTACTTGTGTATCATTCAGAAAATCCCAGAGTGTTTAAGAAAAACAATGTCTTTAAGAACAAGTTATGTGTCTTGTGGAAAGCTAATCATAAGGCATGGGTCACAAGACAAATTTTCAAAGAGTGGGTCTATGAAGTGTTTGGCCCCAGTGTGAAAAAATACCTCCAGGAAAAGAAATTGCCACTCAAGTGCCTCCTGTTAATGGACAATGCTCCTGCTCATCCTCCAAACGTATTAGACCTCTTGTCTAAGGACTTCAGTTTTATAAAAGTGAAGTTCTTGCCTCCTAACATCACTCCTCTCCTCCAGCCCATGGACCAGCAGGTCATTTCTAACTTCAAAAACTCTACACAAAAGCAGTGTTTGAAAAGTGCTTTGAAGTGACCACAGACACTAAGTTGACCCTAAGAGAGTTCTGGAGGAATCACTTCAACATCTACAGCTCCATAAGCCTTATAGGTAAGGCTTGGGAGGGAGTGACTTCCAGGACTTTGAACTCTGCTTGGAGACAGTTGTTGCCAGATTGTGTCCAAAAGAGGGATTTTGAAGGGTTTGAGGCTGACCCTGACCCAGCTCACCCTCTGCCTGTTGTGGACTCTATTGTGGCATTGGGGAACACCCTGGGGTTGGAGGTGAGTGGTGAGGATGTGGAAGAGTTGGTGGAGGACCACAGGGAAGAGCTAACCACTGGAGAGCTGCAAGAGCTTCATCTGGAGCAGTATCAGACCACAGCTGAGGAACTTACTTCAGAGGAGGAGGAAGAGGGAGTGGATGAGGTGCCTTCTTCAAAGATTAAGGAGATTTGTGCCAAGTGGAATGATGTCCAAATGTTTGTGCAGAAGTACCACCCTGAGCAAGCTGAAACAAGCCATCTTTGCAACAAGTTCAGTGACAGAACCATGTCCCATTTTAGGGAAATGTTAAAGAGGTGCCAGAAACAGAGGACTGTGGACAGTTATTTTGTGAGACAGGGGTCCAGTGACTCTCAAGCTGGTCCTAGTGGCATTAAAAGACAGAGAAGGGAAGTAACCCCAGAGAGGGCTTTACCTGAAGTCCTCATGGAGGGGGATTCTCCTTCCAAACACTAACCCCAACTCCCTCTCTCCTCCCTATCTTCCAGATGCCATCACCAATCTTCAATAAAGGTAAGTAAAAATGTTATTTTATATGTATTACTATACATAATTAAAAACTATTGTATTTGTTGTATGTAAAACTGTAATTAATCTCTATAAAATGAATTTTTTTGTGTGAATACTTTTGGGTTTCTGGAACGGATTAATTGTATTTCCATTATTTCTTATGGGAAATATTGCTTCGAATTTCAGACTTCGAATTTAGAACTAGCTCCTGGAACGGATTAAGTTCGATTTTTGAGGTTCCACTGTAAGGGTCAAAGTTAAACCATGAACAAATATTATTAGTGGGAATGTGTTAAACTCACAGGGGTCAAGTAAGTTTATTCAGGTACAGGTACATATAAATTGTTATATAAATTATCATACATAGCAGTATATATGTAGATTACCTAAGATAACCTTAAAAAGTCAATGACTTATTTCCACTGGGACCCATGAAATTTCCATTTAAGGGGGAATGGGTGGCAATCAGGTTGGATACAAGTTTGGGCTGTATAAGTTGAGTTCCTTAGATGAAGAGCCCTTCACAACCATCCCATGATGAGAACAGAGAAAGCTAGGAGAGGGAGAAATTAGATCAGACACAATTCCATTGTGAGGGAAAGGGAAAATAATAAATTTATTTAGGCACAGGTGCACATAAGTACAATTATCATAGTGAAAGTTAAGACACATGTGCAACATCTGGATATCTTTATTGTAGACGTTTCGCCATCCAGTGGCTTTATCAATACAGATTCTAGGACATAATTGGAAGACAATAGAACTATATACAAAAGATGAGGTAATCAGTCCCTCCGCCTTGGAGTTAGTGTTCACAGGCTGAGGGACTGATTACCTTATCTTTTGTATATAGTTCTACTGTCTTCCAATTATGTCCTAGAATCTGTATTGATAAAGCCACTGGATGGCGAAACGTCTACAATAAAGATATCCAGATGTTGCACATGTGTCTTAACTTTCATATTGTCGGTATTTTATACCTTTCTTGCACAATTATCATAGTGTAAATTACCTAGGATAACCCAAAGAAGTCAGTGATTTATTTCCATTGGGCTCCTTGATATTTCCATTAGGGTCTTTGTATTTCTATAGGTTTTGCTAGTAAATGTTACTCCAGATCTCCACAGAAATGCATGTAAAAATAGCACATGTTATGCAGACAACTCATTTTTTATTATTATGGTACAGTACACTGATAAGAGCAACTAAAGTGGTAGATCAGTGGGAAGATAACGCAATATACTATATGTATTAGGCTCAGGCACACACTTCATTTGCTACATTGGAGCTTCCAATATCTGATCCCTTTTTGTCTATAACTCTGCTTGGGGATCCCAGTTCCCTATAACCTTTGGGACCCTAGCTCCCTATAACCTGCTTTGGGACCCTAGTTACCTACATCCTGTTTTGAGACCCCTTGTTTCCTATAACCTGGTTTGGGACCCTAGTTGCCTACAACCTGCTTCGGAACCCTAGTTACCTAGCTGCCCTCCCATTTCCTATATCTAATCTGATTGTCTCCCAGTCTTAAGTGCTGTATGATATCTGAGTATAGCACTTCCTACCTAAAAATGGTAATTCCCTGTTTACCTAGAGGGTTTCGGGGGTCAACGCCCCAGCAGCCTGGTCCGAGACCTGTGAATTTTAGTTTAAAACATTGAATTTTAGTTTAAATAATTAATTTTAGTTTAAATCATTAAGATATATATGTAATACAGTGTCTATCAGTCTATTTTCCGGTCATTAAAATCTAGTTTATAATGCACACTGCCGTCAGTACTTGTATCAAATTCTAACCACAGCCTTGTTTTTGTTTGTGAGTTTGTTTAAAAATGCATATTATTTTGCTTAAAACATGTGCTTAACCCATATGGATTATTCAGTGTTATGAAAATCTTAATGATTTAAACTAAAATAGTAACATTATACAGTATTGTAAATGCATTCTAGTTCCTGTTGCACAATTTTGTACTGTTTTGGCTTGAGTGTTTTCTTGAATTAGCATGTCTCTTCATGCATTTATATTACTGTACATTGTAATAGAATTTTTATTTACATTTTTTCTATTTCCAGAATGTGCCTAGTTACTTTTATGACAACTTCAACCAAACCCTTAAAGGTTTTGAAGTATTTTGGTGTTCAACTCTCAATTCAAAATAGTTTTCCTGTTCAACAGCTACATATCCTGTACAGCAATTAGACCAACTGTTGTATTGCAGACGTATAGTGCATCCAACTGATATAGCCAACGAAGATGGTGCCTCACATACGACATATGCTTTGCAGTATGCGCATTGGCACCACCTTTGCTTCTGCAATGGCACCCAGGGTCATGTCATCTCTCTTCTACAGCAGATTAGGGGTAAGTTATGTACTCCGGGGCTAAAGGTCTGCAGTGTATGCACTGCATAAGGTCCGTCTCCACTAGGCAGTCTTGTTCTTGTAAACTAGTACATACACAGAAACAAACATGACATATGTATCTACAATTATAATGTAGTGAAAAATATCTTGCATGTGTCATTAATTAATGTTACTGTTTTCTCTCCATATTCATTCTCTTGCAGTGTTAAAGAATTAAAGTACAGTAGTACGTAATTATAATTTGGTTAACCTTCTCCTTACTCAACTACATAGACACCATTCAACATTTGCTTATTTTTGGCTGTACAGGCAGTGACCTCATCACACCAAGGACTTCGGCAGCCACCCTCTGTGGCACTGTCGTTAATCCATGTCCGTGACTTCCAGTCACGCAGGTTCTCCCGTAATGTCGAGTTCTTCACTGAAAGTGATGTTCCAATCCCCAAAAATACAATGGAGGTGAGATGTTATGCAGCCCCAGTCCCTCCATAATATCTTGTGTAAATTTATACTGTGTATCTTTCTTGCCTTCACTGGGATTGTTAGTGTAAGTGGTATTCCTATAAGGAAAAAACACATACCTTACAGGAGCATCATTAAATGCTTGGTATCTTTTATTTTTAAGGTTTTTATCTAACCTATTATTTTTCTTTGCAGTAGGTGTAGTAGTAACACTATATTCCTTGAACATAAAATCCTATGATGTTACTTCTAGGTCCTTTACATGCCTTTTTTTTCTTTTCTTCATTTTGAGCACTAGTCATAAAAAAAAATTCAGGAATTCATCTTATTCATTTAGTGGGGGACTCACTTTTCAGTACACCTTTTTTTTTGTTTGTTTTGGAATTTATTATTATTATTATTGTGGTAAAAACAAAAATATTAAAATGTATTGTTCTTTAATTTTCCATTTACAGTCAGTCACTGAGGATAACCCATTATACGTACAATATTATACAATATTAGTCGTTCAGTTTTACCTTTCATGTTTGATCACTTCTTCACAATTGATTAAATAATCCTCCTCCACCCAGATTGCTTCAAAGCTGAGCAAACACGAACGTCCATTAACACTCTTATTCTGCTGGCTCATGGCCCGGGAACGACATATCAAGAAGTATGCTCAGCTTTACACCAACTTAGGGTTTGATGTACTAAAGATAAGAATTTCACCATTTGATCTGTTGCGGCCTACCAAAGGATCACAAGTGAGAATTAGAGTATTTTAATTGTTGTAGTGTATAAAATATCATGCAAAAAAATCAAGAGCTTTGAGATCAAGAAGTGTGGGGTTACAAAGCATTATTCAGAGGGCTGAGGAGAGGTTTTTGAGGTGGTTTGGACATTCAGAGAGGATGGAGCAAACTAGGATTAGAAGGGTGTATATACCTGGGTTGGAGGGAAGGAGGGTAGGGATCAACCTAGGAAAGGTTGGAAGGAGGGGGTAAAGGTTTCGAGTGCTAGGGGCTTGGATGGACACCCAGTACGCTTGTGCGAGTGGAGGCAAGGATATTATTACTACTGTCTGTTGTTGGAGGGTGATCAAGGTAACATTTGTGAAGGAATTCAGGAAAACTAGTTAGCCAAACTAGAGTTCTAGAGGCAGAAAGCACAGTGCCCGCACTGAAGGAGGGGAGGGGATGTAGCAGTTCAGAGGGTCATTTGAGCTGTGATGTCAGCATGTTTTTTGGCAACAATGATTGAATGAATGAGAGTGACAGTGAAAGCGTTTCCTCTTTTTTGGGATGCTGTACCTCAGCATGAGATGGTTAGTTAGTTTAATATGTTTATTATGCACCCCATACCCATCCTGTGGGCGGTAGTCAAAAGATTACAGAGGTACATAATTGGTCCAGGGACTGGACTCCAAAGTTTTGATAGCTGAGCAAGTTACAGAGGTAATGAACTCACAGTTTACAAAGGTAATGAACTCACAATTTACAAAGGTAATGAACTCCAGGTAGGTCTGGTCACAATCATGACAAGTTATAAAGGTATTTACAGATTACAGAGGTACATAATGGGTCCAGGGACTGGGCCCCCAAAGTTTTGATAGCTGAACTAGGTACAAAGGTAATGAGCTCACAAGTTACAAAGGTAATGAATTCTGTAAGAATGGTTACTTACGTTTATACATGGCTACAATCATGAACAAATTATAGTGTGGAATATGCATACGTGAGACACATTATGCATCCACCACCTTACTGATAAATTTGTGATTACATTAATACATTAAAAGGAATAACAAAGTATAACTTAAGTACAAGGAGCTGCTTGATAAATATGGTTATAGTGCACAGTACCTGTGTAGTTAATTATTTACAGCAGAATGTGAAATGTAATGTTGTTGCAAATAGTACCGTACATATAATCATTATGTTTAATGTAGATGAAATTTGTGGACACACAAGTGAATGTAGAAACCAAAATTGTACATATATTTATGGATAAATAACTTATGTTTACCTTCACAGCACTGTAAATTTTAGTTTCATAATGTTTTATAAAACAGTACTGTAAACTATTGAATTTTTTTTTTTTATAGGTGGCAGCAGATCAAGTGTTGCAATTCCTACATGCTAACCCCTCCCACAGTCCTGTCCTGGTCCATGGACTGAGTGTTGGTGGCTATGTTTCCATGGAGCTCATGGTTAAGGTCAGGCTCTGAAGTTGTTAGTAAAGTATTACAAAAATGAAAGAATAATGAATTCATGGCTATATTACCTCTTTCTGTAGACTTCATCAGAAGGCAGTTTTTTGAATGGAAAGTATGTAGATGCTCCCAAATAGAATGAAAAAAAATATTTCATTCAATTCATACAGATTCACAACGACATGAAAAAGCATGGACACTTGCTGAACCGTTTTGTAGGACAAATCTGGGATAGTGGAGTGGATATTGATGGAATCCCTGATGGAGTGCCCAGAGCCATCACCAACAACCAAAGTTTACAGAGGAATATCAAAAAATACCTCCTGTGAGTGTTGGTAGCAAATTAAATTTCCTGGGGCTATGGGCAATGTGTGGTGTAAATATTATGCAGAGAATTCGTAGTGTGGAAATTAGGAGGTGTGGAGTTACAAAAAGTATTATTCACAGGGCTGAAGAGAGGTTGTTAAGGTGGTTTGGTCATTTAGAGATGGAGCAAAATAAGATAACTTGGAGGGTGTATGAATTTGTAGTGGAGGGTAGGAGGGGTAGGGGTCATCCTAGGAAAGGATGAAGGGAGGGAGTAAAAGAAGATTGGTGTGCAAGGGCTTGGGCATGCAGCAGGCATGTGTGAGCGTGTTAGGTAGGAGTGAGTGGAGAAGAATGGTTTTTGGGACCTGACAAGCTGTTGGAGTGTGAGCAGGGTAATATTTTGTGAAGGGATTCAGGGGAACCAGTTAGATGTACTTGTCCTGGAGGTTGGAAGTACAATGCTTGCACTTTAAAAGAGGGGTTTGGGATATTGGCTGTTTGGAGTGACATCTAAACTGTCGTATCTGAACACCTCGGTTTGAATGATGGTGAAAGTGTTTTTCTTTTATGGGTCACCCTGCCTTGGAGACAGCCAACATGTTAAAAAAATATATATACAGTGGAACCCCAAGTTTCGGCCGCCCTGAGTATCAGCCGCTTCTAGTTTAGACCACTTTTTTTTTTTTTTTGGCTGAATATTGTCCCGAGTTTTGCCCTGTGCCCTGTGTTTCGGCCGGCATACCAGACCTGTCCGCCTGCCTGTGCCTGCGTGCCTGCCCGCGCAGGCATCGTGAGCCAGTCTAGCTTTGTTTATCCTTGAGTGAATATTATCCTGCATGCTCATCCAAACATTTCACAGTAAATTCATAACTTCTTAGTGGCAGCCCTTTGGTAAGGAAAGTGAGAAACATGATAGAATTGAAGAAAGAGATTGTAGAAAAGTACCAAAGTAGAGGAGGAAGAGAGCAGGGAGAATGTACCTTCGTCAGTGATTCTGCTATATGTACAATACTAAAGCACCAAGAGCCGATAAAGGCTATAGCGCCAGCCAGTGATAAAGTGTAACAAGTAAGTTAGAAAAATGACAACACAAAACTTAACTCCTCCATTGTTCTTTGAGGTATATAGGGCGACTGAAAACGCCCCACCTCTGCTGCCACTTATGCTTATGCTCTCAGTGGCCCTTATACACCCAACAACAACACAACATAACACCACTCGTGATATATGTAATGATGTATTTTATTCATCCTAGAGTATATGTTATGTTTCTATGTTATTAATATTGTTTATTATGTCATATTAGATGAATTGTGATAGATAAATAAGCTGTACCTAGGTAGTAGGTTGGTATGACTCAAGAAATCGTAATGACACGATTGCAAACAAACCATACCCCCGGCTGGGATTGAACCCGACGGGCTGGAGTTTTGAGACTCTATGACCGCGGGTTCAATCCCGGCCGGGGGTATGGTTTAGTAGGTTGGTAGACAGCAACCGCCCAGGGAGGTACTACCGTCCTGCCAAGTGAGTGTAAAACGAAAGCCTGTAATTGTTTTACATGATGGTAGGATTGCTGGTGTCCTTTTTTCTGTCTCATGAACATGCAAAATTTCAGGTACATCTTGCTACTTCTACTTACACTTAGGTCCCACTACACATACATGTACAAGCACATATATACACACCCCTCTGGGTTTTCTTCTATTTTCTTTCTAGTTCTTGTTTATTTCCTCTTATCTCCATGGGGAAGTGGAACAGAATTCTTCCTCCGTAAGCCATGCGTGTTATAAGAGGCGACTAAAATGCCGGGAGAAAGGGGCTAGTAACCCCTTCTCCCGTATAAATTACTAAATTTGAAAAGAGAAACTTTCGTTTTTCTTTTTGGGCCACCCTGCCTTGGTGGGATATGGCCAGTTTGTTGAAAAAAAAAAGAAAAAAAAAAGAAAAATTTTCGTTTTTCCTTTTGGGGCACCCCGCCTCGGTGGGATATGGCTGGTATGTTGAAAGAAAGAAAGATTAATTTTTTTAAATACTCTTATTTGTAATGGTTCATTGTTCATTATACTTAATAAGACTAGTAATCTATGCTTTGCCACATATCCATACAGAATTATGAAAGACATTGATAGTCAGACAACTATTGTTGCTTCATTTGTCATGTACAGTAATTTACTCAGAGTTGTTCAGTACCTTATACCTGGAGAGGGGTTTTGGGGGTCAACGCCCCCATGGCCTGGTCTGTGACCAGGCCTCCCGGTAGATCAGGGCTTGATATTTCCTCTTATCTCCATGGGGAAGTGGAACAGAATTCTTCCCCTGTAAGCCATGCGTGTTGTAAGAGGCGACTAAAATGCTGGAAGCAAGGGGCTGGTAACCTCTTCTCCTGTATATATTACTAAATGTAAAAGGAGAAACTTTCATTTTTCCTTTTGGGCCACCCCGCCTCAGTGGGATACGGCCGGTGTGTTGAAAGAAAGAAAGAAAGAAATAAGCTGTAGTGTCATATTGAAGGACTATCTTGTCCTGTCTCCAAACAAATTCTCCTGCCTCTCATATGCCAACAAGAGTCTTCAATAAAGGTAAAACTGATTTAAATGTTCATTTATCCATTAAAATTAGTGCTTTATACAAATTTATTTCTCATTGTTTTCCGTATATTCATTCTTTAAAAAATAATTTTTTTTGTGAATATTTTTGGGTGGAATGGATTAATTGGATTTACATTATTTCTTGTGGGAAACGTTGCTTCGACTTTAGGCCTACCTCCTGGAACGGATTACGGCCGAAACTTGGGGTTCCACTGTATATATAATAAGGCGTGGAACAATGTAGTTGCACAAACTAATATAACATTAAAAACATGCTTTATTGGCTACTAAAAAAAAAATTTATATATCCATATTATTTTAACTAGTTTTACTTGAGCCTTATTATAAATGATTTAATAATTATAAGATAAATAAAGGTTTCTGTGATTACTCACCCTGTTAATTAAATAGGCATTACTGTAGTAAAAATTTTATAGCCATATTTGGAAATAATTTGTTTTAAAAGTATTACTTATAAAGGGTCAGCAAAGAGGTCAGAAAGAAAGCCTATAATGTTTGGTAGTTAGGACTACCTTAATTAAAACCAATCGTTCTTGGTTATTTTTATTAGCTGAGGAATGGGGTAAAACTTAGATATTTAATTTTTGTGATGGTGGATTCAAAATGGAGGGCAAGTGTTATGCAGGAGAGACCTGGTGACATGACTGATGAACAGAGGAAAGATTGCACCTCCAACTTCATGCCTGAGTAATTCTGTAAGTTTTGCATAAAGTTTTGCATTTTTGGTGTCATTACCTTTAGAAAAAGATTCTCTGCAATTGTAGAAGCTAAAATTATTTTTTTAAATTGTGCCACTGACAGGATTTTTTATTTCAGGGGTCATAGTAGTGAAAGGGTTAAGATCATGACTTTCAAGATTAGCAAGAAACTACATTATTTGTACTCAAACTGCTATTGCTGGGTGTTGTACCCATTTTCTTATGTCTAATAAAAGCATAATTTAAGGAGTTTTACCATCCAAAGTCTTGTGGAGCATACAAGATAATCAAATAATGAAGTTTTTTTTTTTTTTTTTCAGGTGGTACATGAAGGTTCAGTATAATACAGCAACAATTCATTACCAGAGAGCAAGTGCAAAAATGCATGAAAACTTTCTAGGGGTGCCAGCACTCTTCTTCTTCTCTGAAAATGACCCAGTCTCCACCCCAGAAATGAATGCTAAGGTGTACAAGAAGTGGGAGGCTAGAAATTTCCCAGTAAGCTCAAGTTTTTATATTTATCTGTTCAGTATTTTTTTGTATGTAGGCATTATATAAATTACAAAGAGGAGTGAAGGGTCAGTAATGAGATGATCAAAATGTATATATGTACAGCCTCTCCTCACTTAATGACAGTTTTGTTTCTAAGACCACGTCGGTAAACGAATTCGTCGCTGAGTAAGGAGCATACTATACTGGTAGTGAATTTGTCAGCCATCTTTGATATTGTTTTAGTGTCACTTTTGCACCATTTATAACATTTTTGGTATATTTTTAAATGTTTATACAGTAGTGCACTGTATATTGTAATAAACAGAATAGAGAAAAATCAGCTCTAATTTACATTATTTAGGTATGCACACTGGTCAGAAAGCCGGTCGTTAGTCAGAGTTGTCGGTAAACGAGTACATCACTAAGTGAGGAGAGGCTCTTATTACTTTAGGATATTGACAAAGTGGACAAAGATTGACATGTGAGGGAGAAATGGAAATAAAACACCCAGATGAATTGTAAGGAATGTTATAAAAATCATTTTCACTGTAAAAGAAACAAATAAGTTAAATGAGCTAAGTGCAGCAACAATATGGTAATTAAAAGGCTAGGAAGCACTGACCATTTCCTACCAAGGTAGAATGACACAAAAAAAGGAAAATACATTCACCATCACTCATTCCCTAGCTGTCTTTGTAGAAAAACATGGACGTAACAGGTGTAGTGACATAATGAAACCCTGACATCCTCATTCATCCTGAGTGCAGGCACTTTCCACTTCCAAAACATTACTCCTGCTAACTGCTTTTTCTGAATTCCTTCATAGATGTTACTTTGCTTGCACAATAGCAGCTTATTAAATAATAATAATAACAACTATAGGTAGTAGGTTGGTAGACAGCAACGCCTGGGAGGTACTAATTGGCAAGTCAGTGCTAAAACTTAAATGTATGGTTTTGATATTGGATTGGGTGTCTTTTTTCTTATATGAAATCTTCAAACTGTTGTTTCTGACTCTGCAAACAGTCATAGGTACTAAGTCTGTGAAAGTATATATAGAAAGCATTCTTTTTTGTATTTTCTTTCTGTTCTTTTTTGGGTTTTCCTTCTCCTGGGGAAGTGGAACAGAATTTCGTAAGCCATGCGGTTGTAAGAGGCAACTAAAAATGCCGGGAGCAAGGGGCTAGTAACCTCTTCTCCTGTATAATTATATGTAAAGGAGAACTTTCGTTTTTCTTTTGGGCACCCCTCGGTGGGATACGGCGGTTGTGTTGAAAGAAATTTGAATAACAACTATAGGAGTAGGTTGGTAGAAGCAACCGCCCAGGGAGGTACTACGTCCTGCCAAGGAGGTAAACTGAAAGCCTGTAATTGTTTTACATGATGGTAGGATTGCTGGTGTCCTTTTTTCTGTCTCATGAACATGCAAGATTTCAGGTACGTCTTGTACTTCTACTTACACTTAGGTCACACTACACATACATGTACAAGCACATTTATACACACCCTTGGGTTTTCTTCTATTTTCTTTCTAGTTCTTATTCTTGTTTATTTCCTCTTATCTCCATGGGGAGTGGAACAGAATTCTTCCTCCGTAAGCCATGCGTGTTGTAAAAGGCAAACCTAAAATGCCGTGAGGCAAGGGGCTAGTAACTCTTCTCCTGTATATATTACTAAATGTAAAGGGAAACTTTCGTTTTTCTTTGGGCCATCCCCCTCGGTGGGATGGCGGTGTGCTTGAAGAAGAGATAAAATAATAATAACAACAACTTTTCATATAGTTGGACGTGAGTCCTGGAAATGGGAAGTACAGTGCCTGCACTTTAAAGGAGGGGTTTGGGATATTGGCAGTTTGGAGGGATATGTTGTGTATCTTTATATGTATATGCTTCTAAACTGTTGTATTCTGAGCACCTCTGCAAAAACAGTGATAATGTGTGAGTGTGGTGAAAGTGTTGAGTGATGATGAAAGCATTTTCTTTTTGGGGATTTTCTTTCTTTTTTGGGGTCACCCTGCCTCGGTGGGAGACGGCCGACTTGTTGGGGGAAAAAAAAAAATTATCTCTATTTGACCCAACCCAAATTTGAAAGTTTCTTTTTTGTTTTAGTAAATGCATACAGAATAGGTTACCAGTTCCTTGCTCTCAGCATTTTGGGTGCCTTCTAAGATGTGCTTTATGGTGTTAGAGAGTCTAACACTCTTGCCAGTGGACTCATAATTTAAATGCTTAGCAGAAATTAAAGAATTTCAGTTTGCATTAGAGCATGAAAATAATGCTAAGCTAATAACTACTACAGAAGCTGGATATTGAACTTGCCAGATTCTGTGTTATTGAATGAGGTAATTGTTTTCAATGTACATTTTTGTATTTGTAAAGTGTAGTAAAGCTAGGTAAGCTACATTTTTTTATGGAGGGCCTAGTACCATATGTTTGCAGTTAAAGTTTCTTGTGCAGTGCTAAATCACTATAGATCAAAGTATTTTGTAAATCAATTGGCTTCCTGATTTCTGTGTAGGAGAATTCCTTGCACCATCACTAGAGTGAATGACATGGTTACAATATATGCAGTTGTGGGTGTTTAGTAGATAACACTTAAAGAATAACTTAATTCTATTCTAATAACATAAGTACTGCAATAGTATTGGAGTAGACCTAGGTGATATATTATGTACAAAAGAGAAAAAAAGTTATAGGTGTAGAGACTACAAGCACTCCAATTTATATAAAAAAAATAATGAATAATTGGAAGTTAGAGGTGACTAATACGTAGTATGGAACATAAATGAAAGTTTAGTTAAAACTATAAAACTATAATATTTTTTAATCTTTTTGAAAGAGGTGATCAGATAAATGCTGAAACAGATATAATGATAATGTAAATTATAATTACAGGTATATGTGAAGTGCTGGAAAGATTCAACCCATGTCAGCCACTACTTAAAACACAGGAAAGAATATGAAGGTGAAGTGGTTGCCTTCTTAGAGCACATTGGAATAGTTGAGCCAACCCGACAAAGAGCTTCATCCGTCTGAAAGTCCTTGGATATTTGAGTGAAATTATACCTTTGTAGAGAAATATTAGATAAAGCAAAAAGATATGATGTACTTAGTACTGAATGTGTGTTTTGTGTCGAGTGTAGTGACTGCACGAGTAAAAATGAGACCATCATTGGTGACAAGAAGTGTGCTTTAGTGGAAGTATATTGTACTGTTCCAAGAAGACTACATGATAATGAGAGTAATGTTCCTATATTAACATCAATTGCTAACTATTTTATGTACAAAATGGATGAAGTCACAGTTTATATCAAATACAATTTTTCATGAGCCACGTCCATTGAAAATTACTACGTTGATATATTAACAGTTATAAATAATGATACATAAGGACACTTACGTTGAATATTCAGCATGACAAGGTAATTGAGATAAAAGTTATAATAGTGTTATAATAGCTGGTATACAACATAACAACTAAGAAGTGTCATGTACAGTAACTTCAACTTCCCCTTAAGTATTATTTTATTATACCAGTTATGTACATATCTGGTTGAAGTTTTCTATTCATTTTCTTTCTCTAGTCACTTTTTTTTTTAAGTGGCATCTTGTGATTGAGTTTATGTAATATTGTAATCTCGTATTTAGTTTTTCTTTAATTAGTATTCTTTTTCATCATAAACAGAATTTTTTCCTGGATAAATAAACATTTATTTTTAAATGCTATGACTATGATCTGTATATTTGAAAGACTAATTATTTAAACTATAGTACTAAATTAATTATATGTAGTATGGAGAAAAGAAAATTTTGTTAACATGAATTTGTAACTAGCAAAATCCAAAGTTGAACCACCAAGATATCCATCACATATTAATATATCATAATGATCGGGGTCCATGACGTATCGGTCCTCGCAGTTCGTGGTGCCCTCAAATTCGCCATAAATGGCAAGATCCTTCCAGGGTAAGCATTTATTTTCATTATTATTATTAATGTAAATGGCAAATTTTTGCCTAGACATGAGAAAATGGGCCTGTATGGTGGGTGTGTACAGTATAAAAAAATCCTGCCTCGCAGTGTATGATAGGAAGAGTTAATCTCTGATTGAGCATTTGGAGGATTTGTTTTAAGGTGGTTTTATTGCCTGTTGGTGCAACAAGGACTGGAAAGCACTAGTGAAAAGATTTTGGGTCTCTAAGACCAAAAGTGGCTTGTTATAGGTCTTAGAGTGGCAGAAATAGTTTTTTTTTTTTCTCCTGGAGAGGGGATGGTCTACTCCCTGCCCCTACTTGTGGTCTGCTATATGGGTTTACTAGGGCTGCATCAGTTATTGGGATGTCCTAAACCATGGCCAAGACTTCTTGGTTATAGTTTATTAGCTGAGAAATGGGGGAGGGGGGACATCAACTTTTTATGACTGGACTCAAAATGGAGGGCAAGTGGTGTATGAAAGAGGCCTTGGAATGTGATTGATGAACAGAAGGAAAGTGTGGCTGGAATGCCTACAGTATTTGTTTTGGATGGTTTTTAGATTATTATTTTTGTTGAAAATGTAAAATGGACCAATTTCCCAATTTCTGGGCACCTAAGAGGGTATAAATCTGATTAGTTGAATGGGTAGTTTCTTGTGACCAATGGATAGTACAGAATGAACATTAGTAAAATAGCTGGAAAATGGGTCACTTGGAGCAATGGAACTGGTTGAAAATAGGCCTTAGTGGACAAAATTGCTATTGTGTAAAGTGTTCCCTAACCTCCAACTTTACACCTGCATAATTCTGTTAGTATTACATCAGTCTGCATTGTTAGCACGATTATGTTATAGAAAAAATCTTGTATGTTGACTTATGGGTTTAGCGCTTAGTTATCACTGCAGTAATAAATATTTTTTATTCAGAATTGTAGACACAGGGCTTTTAATTTTAGGGGGTGTGGATAGCTTAAGAGTTAAATTTTAAACATAATTCTGAATTGATACAGTATTACTGCTTTGCTTCAGCTAGTTACTAATGTAGTATTCATGGCCCAATAATGACTTACTTATAATGATGGTTCTGGGGGACACCAGCACCTAGTAGGGTGAGAATGCTCTGTCCTTACATGAAGACAGTTTATATACTGTAGTCAGTAAATTTCACATTCAGCAGCTTCATAACTGACCCTTTTTTTTCTTTAAATGGTCCTGTGATCATCTGCCTATTATGCTGTACTTTATAAGAAGAAGCCAACTTCATAAGAGATGTTAAATGCATACTGTTGGGTCTGATTTGGCATTTCTTCTAGTACGAGTATAGAACCCAAGTCTCGGAACAATAACTGTGCTGGGATTACCAAGTCTGAGTATTATACTGCATTTCTTCCTTTAAACTGCTAAATGACCCATATGGATTTAAAACTATTTTGTGAATACTGTATCAAAGTTTGTCATTTATTTTTTACTGAAGGGTCAGTTTTCATGGCAAATATTAAATGACCATAATTAGATGCTAATGTGGGACAGAGTATCTGTGATCTGTTATGTTGAACAATGGTTTCAGGAATGATCATTCCTCTGGCCTGGTTTTGCATCAGGCAGCCTAAATTGGAAATGAAGTACAAGTACAACACCAGTTTACTCGCAACAGATTGTAATAAAGTTGGTAGAATTACCAACAATATGTAAAGTAAAAGGACACAAGTGCAACTAATGTGACATTTTATTGTGGCAATGTTTCGCTCTCCAGGAGCTTTATCAAGCCATTATGGTAATGGCTTGATAAAGCTCCTGGAGAGCGAAACGTTGCCACAATAAAATGTCACATTAGTTGCATTTGTGTCCTTTTACTTCGCAACAGATTGTCCGGCACTTCGTTTTGTCTGTACAGTACTGCGACTACTTTTTTGTCAAAATAGTTTACCTAGTGGCCACAGATGGCATTGTATGTAGTGCATGCTCATTTATATTGTTTACATTGTAGTTGTTCACGATGATCCCTTGATTCTCTGATTCTTAGCATATTTTGTTAACAAACTTAGCCTTGGCTAGTGATTAGTTCTACAGCTCCAGTAAAATTCTAAAATTTATTACTTTGTGAGTGGTAATACTGCAACATTCTTTGTAAGTACAGTAATAAACCTGTTTCACTTGTACTAATGTTTAATTCAGGTTTCCAGCAGAGCATGACAGGTTAGAGGTGTATTGTTGAATTATTATTATATGACCTCTTTTGGTCCAGCAAAATCGATGCACCGGCAAAGCCAAGGCTGTACCTGTATTGTATTACAGAATTAAGAAATATAGGAAGGTAAAGATAGTTGTACACTAAATGTTAGTACAGAATATGTTCATGAGATATTTGTCCGCCATCTGACATATCTAAGTTATGGCTTAGTTGCCAGGTGGAGAAAAATTGTTGCAGGTAGACCTTTATTACTGCTACTATATAACATTTTGTATTGGACTGAATTTGATAAAAGTCCAGCCCTTGACAAAAAGTCTTAACAGTAATGCAGGTTTCCCTTCAACATAATATCTTGCATGTTCATGAGCCAGAAAGAGACAAGCAATTTTGTCAGTGCAAAGCATTTAACAGTTTCGTAGTACTTCCCTGGGTAGTGGTTTATCTACCAACAAATTCTTAAGGAAACGTCCAAATGCAGGTGTTGACCATGCAGTGATGTGCTCAACAGTTCCTTAAAGAAGTCATACAAGTGAAAGAGGATATAACATTCCATTGGCTTTATGGCTATAGCTAAGTTATTTCAACCTTATAATGAATGCAACTGGTCCTATGGCAGGCATGAGGCAGGTCTCGGTGGACGGTGGTGTCTAATGTGTTGATGCACGTGGTTTAGTTGATGACCATAGGTAAAGGTATTGAGCAGTTTAGTGTTTTCATTTTGGTGTGCTTCATTGATGAAGGTTCTCAAGAAACTGTTCCAATGGTGCACCTGTGACTTTGGGCCTTGACCCAGCCAGAGGTTGTCTGACCACTACCTCTGGCTGATAGACTGGGGTGGTAAAAAGATATGACTACCTAATTGTGCTGTATGCATTTTTTCTATATCATAGAATTATTTAATGTTCATTCTTTTATTTATTTGTAATTTCTAAACAGAATTTTAGTTTTAGAATTCTGGATTTGTACCAAATTCAGTACAAACCAGGAAGGCTTCAACATTGGAAATGCTGTATGTATAATTATTCATCAAGTGTTTATTTTGTGATGTACAGAAGGAGGACCCCACATATACAGCACCTTTTTTTTGGTGTTCCATGTTTTTGTTGGCTTTCAAATGAGCCATTATTCCATGCACCAGTAACTATTGCTGGTGGGTGGAATGTAATAAACAATGGCTCAATTTGAAGCCAATGAAAATGTGGAACATTGAAAAGAGGTGCTGTACATGTGGAGCCCTGTACTGTATATGGTAATGTTAATCAGTATGATCTACTTTAACTGGTTGTTAGGAGGCTCTTTTATCCTAAATAAAATGTTTTTTGTATAGATATGATAGTTTTTTTTTATTAAACTACAAGTAATGCCCAGTGAACTTGATTGCAATACAGAATTTTTTCAGCTTATGCTTGGTAGAATTAAGATTATATTTTTTTATAATATGGTTTATTTAATGGCATGTGCTATATTCACTACAGTGCTAAACTGTTCATAACTTGGTAATTAACTGGAAAGCAAAGAAATCATTTTACTTGATATAGTGAAACCAAAGTTCAGTTTCAGACTAGTTAATCAAAAGTTACAATGTGATAGTTAGCAACCAAACTATTAATGATAGACTTCAATGAATCACACCTTTCCGTGGGTGAATGAAGTACTGTACTGACAAAAGTTATATTTATGTCAAATATTCACCATAATCTGTTTTCTGAAGCTATGTCGGTGACCTCTTACACTGGATTGTGATCTGATCTCAAATAATGGGCCTACTTGAAATAGTGGAACTAAAGACTTGTTTTATGCTGGGAATAGCAAAACAGACTCTGAGAAGTATGATCGTCCACAACATCCCTAACATGTAAAATAGCTCACATGAAACACTGCCAGCTGATCTTTGTGTGTATAAAACACTCACAATTAAAACTGTTATAGAAACTCTGACCTTCCCATGGATTTAGTACTTTTTTAACTGTATAGTAGATTAATAATAATGAAAATGAAAACTAAAGTATTTATAAGAAGGCTGGACTTACCTGCTTACTGCAACTGTATGATATATAGCATTGTAAACTGGTGTATTTTTTTAGTTTACTCTTTACAAGATAGTATATGGAAATTAAATGTATTTTGTATATGTATTAATAGGTTTGACATTCAGAATATTGATTAACCACAGGAGATAACTACTGTTGTCAAGCACTTACTGTATAAAATCTGATCAAATAAATCCATTTTTCACCAGAGATTTAAAACTTGCCACATCTCATTTTGTGAAAGTGGCATTTTCAATATTCCATATTACCTTAGCTGCCATGTGATGTAGAGGTTATTCAAGTTAGTACTCTTAACTTGACTTAATCGCTGCATCAAGTGGTGCCACCAGGGACCCTTTGATTCACTGGAATAAAAAAAAAAATTAGTGTTTATAATATTCTGTACATCTATTCACATTTCTTGAGTCATTTGTTAAGTAGTAAGTTAAACTTTATCCCTTGCAGCATACAATATATTTTCCTACTATGCTTTTGCAGTTTCTTCTTCACCCTGATGCTGGTGAGGGGGTTCTAATCTAAGGCATTGGACCTCTGATCCAATGCTTTAAATAGTCTGATTGCCTTCTTTTTCCCTAGATACTGTATGACCCCTATGGGTTTGTCACTTTTCGAATGTAATAGTAATGTTTTACAGTTTCTATTTGCTGTTAGTAACTTTGCACCTTCATAGCTTACTTGTTAAGGACGACAATGTCATAAAAATATAGAATAGTATAAGATTTTATTTGACATCCAATATTTATCATTCATAAAGATAATACATGCTCCTGAGTGTATTTATGTAAATAAATATTGTTATACTTGAACAAACTGTTATATTTTATTGTGCCTTCTCCCTAAGGGGAAACTTACCTATGTTGTGAGGATTATATTACATTCATGGGCAAGTGCTAAACTTGTAGGGGCTGCACAGTGCCTGGTGGATGTTAAGTAGTAATCAGTTTGATCCAAGGAAAGGGAGGATAACTCCAGGAGGAAGCACTGAAAAAAGGAACTGTTGAAACAAAGTTGAATTTGTATATAAAAAATACACTTAGATTTGAATGTGTGATAGAATTTGGGTGAAAAATGTACAGGTAACACCCCACTCGGGTACATGACTACAAGGGAGGCTGTATGACTCATGTGGGTTTAGCGCTTAGTTTTGATTGTAATAATGATGTGGGTGGCAAGTGGTTCTTGTTCCAAACACTTACATTTCTCATCCCCTTCCACGGATCAACCCTTCGATTATATTTTCCCTTAGGTGTTCACCATTACCCTTGCCGACTCTACCTCTTTCATACTCCTCACCCTCACTAATTTCTGATTTTTGCATATTTCATCTTTAGCACATCCTGCCCTGCAGTGCTGTAGAACCCTTGTGGGTTTAGCACTTAGTTATGATTGTAATAATTCCCTGGCTCAAATGTGAATGCTCTCTCTCTTCTAATGAAACAAAAATCTATTGACTGGTCAGGGGCCTAAGGTGTCACTGGGCACACAGCCAAATTGTCATACCCACAAGGTACAGTACTCGCTCCCATCCTTCTCATCCTCATATCTAACATAGACAGAGATGTAAGTCACAGCACTGTGTCCTTTGCTGATACCAGAATTTGCATGACAGGGTCATCCAATGAGGACTGCAAATCTCCAAGCGGTCATTAACCAAGTCCTTAAAGTGGCTTCAGAAAACAATATGAAGTTCAATGAAGACAAATTTCAATTACTTTACTATGAAAAATTTGAGGAAATGAAAACTGGATCGGGGTATAAAACAAATTTCAACTTCACAATGAAAAATGATGTGAAGGACCTGGGAGTGGTAATGTCAGAGAATCTCTTACAAAGACCACAATAATAGTTCTATCACATTTGCTAGGAAAATGATAGGAAGGATACTGAGAACCTTCAAAACTACAGATGCTAAGTAAAGAATTATTCTTTTCAAAACATTTGTTCTCTAGGCAGCAATACTGCTGTACACTAACGGCCCCTTTCAAGGCAGATGAAACTACAGACCTGAATTATAATAATGTGCTCCTTGGAACGCAAGTGAGAAAGATGCATGATAATATACACATGAAAAATCTTAGAAAAATTAATGCCAAATCTGAAACGGGAATCACTCCCTATGAAAGAAAAAGACTCTACAGGCGGTGTAACATCCTCTCAAATGAAAAGCAGGAGCGCCCTGAATACACTGAGAGACAACACAATAAGTGTCAGGGGCCCAGGACTGTTCAACTGCCTCCCAGCATACATAAGGGGGATTATCAATAAGCCCCCTGGTTGTCTTCAAGAGGAAGCTAGACAGACACCTGCTGTATAGCCCTTGTGGCTTAGCGCTTCTTTTTGATTATAATAATAATAATAGACAGACACCTAAAGTCAGTACCTGACCAGCCGGGCTGTGGTTCATGCGCTGTATAGCCCTTGTGGCTTAGCGCTTCTTTTTGATTATAATAATAATGTGGTTCATGCGTCAGTTTGCCAATGGTAAGCAGTAACAGCCTGGTTGATCAGGTCCTGATCCACCATGAGGCCTGGACCGGGCACTGGGGCCATTGACTCCCGGAACTCCCTCTAAGTATACTTCAGGTAATCCTCTACACATCCCCTATAAGTTGACATGATCAGTCACTGACATCTAGGGGTTATCCCAGGTTCTTTATACATATATTGCTATGTATGATAATGTATGTATGTAACTGTATTTGTGTATAACTTGGTATTACCATTGGGGGTCCTTGGTATTACCATTGGGGTCCTTGGTATTACCATTGGGGTCCTTGGTATTGCCATTGGGGTCCTTGGTATTACCATTGGGGGTCCTTGGTATTACCATTGGGGTCCTTGGTATTGCCATTGGGGTCCTTGGTATTACCTGGAGAGAGTTCCGGGGGTCAACGCCCCTGCGGCCCGGTCTGTGACCAGGCCTCCTGGTGGATCAGAGCCTGATCAACCAGGCTGTTACTGCTGGCTGCACGCAAACAAGCGTACGAGCCACAGCCCGGCTGGTCAGGAACCGACTTTAGGTGCTTGTCCAGTGCCAGCTTGAAGACTGCCAGGGGTCTGTTGGTAATCCCCCTTATGTATGCTGGGAGGCAGTTGAACAGTCTCGGGCCCCTGACACTTATTGTATGGTCTCTTAACGTGCTAGTGACACCCCTGCTTTTCATTGGAGGGATGTTGCATCGTCTGCCAAGTCTTTTGCTTTCGTAGTGAGTGATTTTCGTGTGTAAGTTCGGTACTAGTCCCTCTAGGATTTTCCAGGTGTATATAATCATGTATCTCTCCCGCCTGCGTTCCAGGGAATACAGGTTCAGGAACCTCAAGCGCTCCCAGTAATTGAGGTGTTTTATCTCCGTTATGCGCGCTGTGAAGGTTCTCTGTACATTTTCTAGGTCAGCAATTTCACCTGCCTTGAAAGGTGCTGTTAGTGTGCAGCAATATTCCAGCCTAGATAGAACAAGTGACCTGAAGAGTGTCATCATGGGCTTGGCCTCCCTAGTTTTGAAGGTTCTCATTATCCATCCTGTCATTTTTCTAGCAGATGCGATTGATACAATGTTATGGTCCTTGAAGGTGAGATCCTCCGACATGATCACTCCCAGGTCTTTGACGTTGGTGTTTCGCTCTATCTTGTGGCCAGAATTTGTTTTGTACTCTGATGAAGATTTAATTTCCTCGTGTTTACCATATCTGAGTAATTGAAATTTCTCATCGTTGAACTTCATATTGTTTTCTGTAGCCCACTGAAAGATTTGGTTGATGTCCGCCTGGAGCCTTGCAGTGTCTACAATGAAGACACTGTCATGCAGATTCGGGTGTCATCTGCAAAGCAAGACACGGTGCTGTGGCTGACATCCTTGTCTATGTCGGATATGAGGATGAGGAACAAGATGGGAGCGAGTACCGTGCCTTGTGGAACAGAGCTTTTCACCGTAGCTGCCTCGGACTTTACTCTGTTGACGACTACTCTCTGTGTTCTGTTAGTGAGGAAATTATAGATCCATCGACCGACTTTTCCTGTTATTCCTTTAGCACGCATTTTGTGCGCTATTACGCCATGGTCACACTTGTCGAAGGCTTTTGCAAAGTCTGTAAATATTACATCTGCATTTTTTTTGTCTTCTAGTGCATCTAGGACCTTGTCGTAGTGATCCAATAGTTGAGACAGACAGGAGCGACCTGTTCTAAACCCATGTTGCCCTGGGTTGTGTAACTGATGGGTTTCTAGATGGGTGGTGATCTTGCTTCTTAGGACCCTTTCAAAGATTTTTATGATATGGGATGTTAGTGCTATCGGTCTGTAGTTCTTTGCTGTTGCTTTACTGCCCCCTTTGTGGAGTGGGGCTATGTCTGTTGTTTTTAGTAACTGTGGGACGACCCCCGTGTCCATGCTCCCTCTCAATAGGATGGTAAAGGCTCGTGATAGGGGCTTCTTGCAGTTCTTGATGAACACGGAGTTCCATGAGACTGGCCCTGGGGCAGAGTGCATGGGCATGTCATTTATCGCCTGTTCGAAGTCATTTGGCATCAGGATAACTTCAGATATTCTTGTGTTAACCAAATTCTGTGGCTCTCTCATAAAAAATTAATTTTGATCGTCACCATTAAAGACACAGCATCAGCAACACGGCCACTTGATACTGGAGTTCCGCAGGGAAGTGTCCTTGGTCCCCTGCTCTTCCTCATATACATCAATGACCTTCCAAACGTATCCCAACACCTGAAACCCATTCTCTTTGCTGATGACACGACTTATGTCATCTCTCACCCTAATCTTGCCACCCTCAACACCATTGTGAATGAGGAGCTGATTAAAATATCGACTTGGATGACAGCCAATAAACTTACGCTTAACACTGACAAAACCTACTATATTATGTTTGGTAGCAGAGCAGGAGATGCACAAATTAACATTAAGATTGACAACACTCTAATTACCAGAAATAATGGGGGAAAATTCCTAGGCTTATACCTTGACAACAACCTGAATTTCAGCACCCATATCCAGCATATAGCCAAAAAAGTATCCAAAACGGTTGGGATCCTCTCCAAGATACGATACTACGTGCCGCAAAATGCCCTTCTCACACTATACCACTCACTTATTTATCCATACCTCACCTATGCTATTTGTGCTTGGGGATCAACTGCAGCAACACACCTAAAGCCAATAATAACCCAACAAAAAGCTGCAGTAAGAATAATCACTAAATCCCATCCCTGGCAACACCCCCCCCCCCACTCTTCATAGATCTAAACTTACTCCCAGTTCAGTACATCCACACTTACTACTGTGCAATCTACATCTACAGGACCTTAAACTCCAATATCAACCTTGACCTAAAACGCTTTCTTGATAGTTGTGACAGAGCCCACAGGCATAACACCAGACACAAACATCTCTACGACATTCCCCGTGTCCGACTAAACCTTTACAAAAATTCAATGTATGTCAAAGGCCCTAAAATCTGGAATACCCTACCTGAGAACTCTAGAACTGCAGACACATTCATCACCTTCAAAACTACCATTAGAAAACATCTTATCTCCCTGATACACCCCATCAACTAACTACACGAATACCACCTGGTGGTTCACACTTACACTCACTCACCCATTTGACCATAAACAGAAATATTAATCTCAGTCTAAAAATAATGAATCCTGTGATACTCCAATACTGAAACTATGTACTGTGCCAAAACAAAAGCATTCACATTGCTAAACTCACAAACTAGTATTTAGTCACTTAGCCATAATACCAACTTACCTCATAATTTGTAATATTTTACAATTAAGAATAAAACTAAGTGTGCCCGAAATGCCTAGCCATGCTAAGCGTTCTAGTGGTACACTCTGTAATCACAATTTTACTACATGTAAACCAAACAATAACCAAATTTCTGTAAACTCAGCATTGTAATCCTTATAGAGAATAAACTTTGAATTGAATTGAATTGAATTGAATTGAATTGAATCACTGGGGGTCCTTGGTATTATCACTGGGGGTTCTTGATATTACCATTGGGGTCCTTGGTATTACCATTGGGGTCCTTGGTATTGCCATTGGGGTCCTTGGTATTATCACTGGGGGGCCTTGGTATTATCACTGGGGGTCCTTGGTATTATCACTGGGGGTCCTTGGTATTACCATTGGGGTCCTTGGTATTACCATTGGGGTCCTTGGTATTACCACTGGGGTCCTTGGTATTACCACTGGGGGTCCTTGGTATTATCACTGGGGGTCCTTGATATTACCATTGGGGTCCTTGGTATTACCATTGGGGTCCTTGGTATTGCCATTGCGGTCCTTGGTATTATCACTGGGGGTCCTTGGTATTATCACTGGGGGTCCTTGGTATTATCACTGGGGGTCCTTGATATTACCATTGGGGTCCTTGGTATTACCATTGGAGTCCTTGGTATTACCACTGGGGTCCTTGGTATTACCACTGGGGGTCCTTGGTATTATCACTGGGGGTCCTTGGTATTATCACTGTGGGTCCTTGATATTACCATTGGGGTCCTTGGTATTACCATTGGGGTCCTTGGTATTGCCATTGGGGTCCTTGGTATTATCACTGGGGGTCCTTGGTATTATCACTGGGGGTCCTTGGTATTACCATTGGGGTCCTTTGTATTACCACTGGGGTCCTTGGTATTACCACTGGGGGTCCTTGGTATTATCACTGGGGTCCTTGGTATTACCACTGGGGGTCCTTGGTATTACCACTGGGGGTCCTTGGTATTACCACTGGGGGTCCTTGGTATTACCACTGGGGGTCCTTGGTATTACCACTGGGGTCCCTGACAAACCCATCAAGTTTCAACCACTTCCGGTCATACCTACTAACTATATGATACTAAATTAAAGAAATTATTTTTTATAAACACTATTCCGTAAATCATCTAAAAACCAAGCTGGAAAGGACCCCAATGGATACGTCAATTTGACTTTTTTTTTTGGGGGGGGGAGGTGTGGGGGGGTTATCCTAGGTTCTCTACACATATACTACTATGTATAATTTATGTAACTGTATATATGTGTACCGGTACCTAAATAAATTGATTTATAAAGGAGCCATCGAGCCAGCTTGAGGAAGCAGCTGTTGTTGTGGTCAAGATGGCTCAGCCGGGAGCTGCTACTCGTCTTCTCTCTCAGTTATCCAGAGTTGTGCTGACCCCAGGGTGAGCTGCCATCATCATGGAACAACACTTGTGTATTACTCTCTTCCTCTCAGTTACTTGAAATGTTAGCTATTTAAGACTTTCTTGTTGTGGAATTGTATGACCCTTTTGGGTTTAGCGCTTAGTTTTGATTGTTTTATTATTATTTTATTATTTATTATTATTTTATTTTTTTTTTATTTTATTATTATTTATTATTATTAATATTATTATTATTATTATTATTAATTATTATTATTATTATTATTATTATTTATTATTTTTATTATTTTTATTATTATTTTTTTATTAATTATTATTATTTTATTATTATTTAAAATTATTATTTTATTATTATTTATTATTATTATTATTTTTTATTAATTTTAATTATTATTTTTTTATTATTGAAGGGGAAAGAAAATAACTACAAAGAAGGGTAACCTTTACCTAAGAAAAAAAAACCTTACTTCGCCAGAGGTAGATGCATTTTTCTTAATTTGACGAGTTTAGGGTGTGTGATGGAGAGCAAAAAACTTTGCCACAAAAAAATTTCACACAATTACATCTGTGTCCTTTTTACTTACTATTTTGTCAGGAATTTCTACCTTTTAATAGAGGATATCTCGTAAACCTGTCTTGTTAACTTCTGCCCAGCTCCGGGGTCACCCCCCAAGGAAGGGTTTCCCTTTACGTTGGGGAAGGGCTTTTTATCTAGGGAATTTGATTATGCTCCCGGTTCCCCAAATTTAAAACTGAATAAAATTCCACATCCCTCCACAGGGGCTGAAAATTCTACGGGTTTTGCGCTTCCCCTTATTATAAAAAATCTGGGATTTCTACTTCCACTGAAGAATGTGTCCCCCTGTGACTGGGCCCCAACACATATTTATATAATTTTAAAATTATACTATTTATAATATATATATATATATATATAATATTAAATTAAAATATTATATATATATTATATATTATATATTAAAAATATTATGTTATAATTAAATTTTTTCAAAAAGCGTCTCTCCCCCCGAGGCAGGGTGGCCCAAAAAAAAAAGAAAATCCCCAAAAGAAAAAATACTTTCTCTCATCAAACTTCACCACACTCGCCATTACACTGTTTTTTTCAGAGGTGCTCAGAATATAACAGTTTAGAAACATACACATATAAAGTACACAAAATACCTCCAAACTGCCCAAAATCCCAACCCTTCCTTTTAAAGTGCAGGCATTGTACTTCCCATTTCCAGGGCTCAAGTCCCACTATATGAAAAAAACCGGTTTCCCCGAATCCCTTCACTAAATATTACCCTGCTCACACTCCAACAGATCGTCAGGTCCCAAGTATCATTCGCCTCCATTCACTCCTATCTAAGACGCTCACGCACGCTTGCTGGAAGTCCAAGCCCCTCGCCCACAGAACCTCCTTTACCCCCTCTCTCCAACCCTTTCGAGGACGACCCCTACCCCTCCTTCCTTCCCCTATAGATTTATATGCTTTCCATGTCATTCTACTTTGATCCATTCTCTCTAAATGACCAAACCACCTCAACAACCCCAATGGAAATAAGTCAGTCTGTCTGTCTTTTTTGGGTTATCCCAGGTTCTCTACACATATGCTGCTATGTATGATAATTCTATGTAACTGTATTTGTGTATACCTGAATAAACTTACTTATTCTGCCCTCTGACTAATGCTTTTATTAACTCCACACCTTCTCTTAATTTCCACACTCCGAATTTTCTGCATAATATTTACACCACACATTGCCCTTAGACAGGACATCTCCACTGCCTCCAACCGTCTCCTCGCTGCTGCATTTACCACCCAAGCTTCACATCCATATAAGAGTGTTGGTACCACTATACTTTCATACATTCCCTTCTTTGCCTCCATAGATAGCGTTTTTTTTGACTCCACATATACCTCAACGCACCACTCGCCTTTTTTCCCTCATCAATTCTATGATTAACCTCATCCTTCATAAATCCATCCGCCGACACGTCAACTCCCAAGTATCTGAAAACATTCACTTCTTCCATACTCCTCCTCCCCAATTTGATATCCAATTTTTCTTTATCTAAATCATTTGATACCCTCATCACCTTACTCTTTTCTATGTTCACTTTCAACTTTCTACCTTTACACACATTCCCAAACTCATCCACTAACCTTTGCAATTTTTCTTTAGAATCTCCCATAAGCACAGTATCATCAGCAAAAAGTAACTGTTGTGATGTAGTTCAGCTGGGCTTGTGAGGTCTCTGGGGAGACCTAATTTAACCAATTATATGGTCACACCTTGCCTTGGCAAACGTCTGTAGCCACGCCCACGTCTGAGGTCTTTTGTTCTTGACGGTGTCAGACCTAGGCGTCAGGTCGTACACGTGGTTGTGGAGGGTGCTTGGACCACGATAAAAGCCCAAGGAAGAGCATGATCAGGAGATTCGAGCGGAGCTGCTGCTGGGGTGTAGAGCTGAGCAGAGACTTCGAGCAGAGCTGCTGCTGGGGTGCAGGGCTCGGGAGAAGGCTGCTGAAGTCTGGAGGAGACTGTTGGAGGCATTGGGCAGAGTACTGGCTTGGCGCAGTACTCGTGCTGTGTAGGTCTTGGGACCTGTGGCTTAGTTCCTGTGATGAACTGCCCTCTGAACTATATTGTAAGTTACATTCATTTTGGTCAAATTGATTGTATTCCCTGTCTCACTGCTTATACATACCATCCCATTTATCTAAACCACAATAATGTTCTGTTCCCAAATATATTATTGTACAAGGACTTAATAATAAACTGTGTTTGAGTAGAATAGTAATATTCACTGTCCCTGTTATTTTCTCCATTTATTTATGTTTAGTTAAAGTAGTGAGAGGGTGAGTAGTGTGGAGTGGTGGGTAGAGTAATGAGAGGTGAAGTTGTAGTCACCAGTGACCTCACATTACCTACCTACCGCTCACCTCTCCTGTCATCTACCACTTCGCCTGCATGTCCCCTACCTACCTACCTCAGCACTCATCCCTCCTACTGCCTCGCCTGTCCCCTACCTACTAACTCCCTCCTCTTACCCCCATATTCCCCTAATCATTACCCCCCTACATGACACTGTGTCAATTCCCATTTTGAATTTGATTCCCCATAATTTAATCCTACCCCTCTCCCGAATACCCTAGCATTTACTTCTTTTACAACCCCATCTATAAATATATTAAACAACCATGGTGACATTACACATCCCTGTCTAAGACCTACTTTTACCGGGAAGTATTCTCCCTCTCTTCTACACACCCTAACCTGAGCCTCACTATCCTCATAAAAACTCTTTACAGCATTTAGTAACTTACCACCTATTCCATATACTTGCAACATCTGCCACATTGCTCCTCTATCCACTCTATCATATGCCTTTTCTAAATCCATAAATGCAATAAAAACTTCCCTACCTTTATCTAAATACTGTTCACATATATGCTTCAATGTAAACACTTGATCTACACATCCCCTACCCACTCTGCCTGTGCTTTAGATTCGTCAAGACTTAAGGCAGTGGACACCTTCAAGGCTGAAGGATTTATTACCTCATCTACAGTTTCCAGTTAATAGTCTGTATTTAATTGAAAAAAAACAATGGGTTGGTGAAATATCTTCCAAATGAAGATACCCAGTTGGTGCATGTGCTTTAATTCATCAGCTTGTCGATGATGTATACCATTAATGTTAGGATCAACTCGAACCATTGATTGGCTCTGAAGTACTGCCTATGCCAATATTTTTGCTAATATTCCAAAATAAATTTTTGCCAAATAAATAATTGTTTCCAGGGCATAGATAACCTGCTTGTATTTGATGTATGTAATCCATGAGTTCTGACCAGGACCTAAACTCATTATTGACTAAATACCACAGCAGGCCTATTGCCCAGTGCTAGTAAGTTTATTTAGGCACAGGTACACATAAATACAAATATGTATCACACAGTGTAAATTACTTAGGATAACCTAAAAAAGTTAGTGACTTATTTCTAGGTAGGTTCAACTTATACCTTGGGATCACAACAAATAAGCAGTATTGCTTAGCACAATTGAAATAATCTGCTATTAGCCACTCTAGTATTAGTAATCCAAATAGTCTTATGACTTTTAGATTATTATTATTCCCCATCTGCGATGACCCATAGAGGTCATACAGTACCTGGGAATAGGAGACGGTTAGGATTGACCCAAGGAAGGTAATCACAACTTTGACCCTGAGATACCTACTTAAGGGTATTTAGCCCAAGATCCTCCAGCAATAGATGAGATCATTGATAGATTACCATACTGAGGTTTTAGCCCTATAAAAACCATTATGATACTTTCAAAAACAAAAACAGAATGAAGCCATAGGAATCATTCTTTGCTTTCCTGTCATCAAAATATTTATCAGAAAAGAATATGGTATACCTGGAGTTGCTACCTGAATATGCAAAATCAGCCACAAGATGTCGAAAGTATATTTATTCAACCTCGTGGTCGTCTGGGAAGTGAAATGACCTCAGTGAAGTCATGAAGGCAGGCTTCATGCATAAATGTTAAACCTAAAACCCAATCTAACTTTATTACTTTTTAAATACACTACCTAACAGAATACTCCATTCTACTGAATGTACAACAATGCATACAACCATATGACCTGTCTTTGTAATACTCACTTGTGCTTTATAGTAACCTGTTTACATTAATGTTTTATCACTGATTTCATCATTGCTTAGTTAATCTTAAGTTAATTTTAAGCCAGCCCGTAATGCTATGCATAGTATAAGTGGCTTTGGCATACTGCTCTTACCTGTATTTGTTGTACCTCTGTATGTGTGCTCAAATTTTTAAATAAATAAATAAATAAATAAATAAATAGTTTTAAGAGCAGGTACAATAGGACCGAAGAGGCTAGGAGCAAATTTGGCGAGCATTAAGTTGAAGGGCAGGGCCAGACACGCACAACCCCTGTACCTACATTGAGACAAGCACATGTAGGTGAGAACACTGAGATGTTTGGCATGCTTAAACTATATCATCATTATTATTGTATTTGTAAAGTAAAAGGAAACAAGTGCAACTAATGTGACATTTTATTGTGGCAACGTTTCGCTCTCCAGGAGCTTTGTGGGGGGGAAACATTAAGCTCACAGGGGTCACACAGCACCTGGGGAATGTAGGCAATCAAGTTCAATCCAAGGAAGGGGAGGAAAAGTCCAGCTACTTGGATGAAAAGCCCCTCACCAGTATCACAGACCATCCCTAGGAGACAGCTGGTTTTGACATCATGCCCAGCTACTTTCCTAAAAAAATTAATTATGCTCTATCCTCATTTTTGAGTATTCCAGAACACATACACAACCTGCAAACTAAAAATAATATCACAAAACTATCTACACTGATAACTTCCTTAACTCTTACAGTGGGAGGGTGTGAAGCACTGTTGTTGTAAACCATCCTGATGGCACTATAACTGGGCTTCCATCTGTACAAACTGAACTGTGTACCATACTTGCTGCTTTGTAGCTTGTAAAGACAGTTTAATTGGTTCTCACTCTCTATTCTCATCACTTGTTTCAAATGCCTGAGATATGAATGGAACATGCTTATGTATCAACCCAGACACTAATATACACAAATTAATAAGAAAAAGGGACTGGAGTTAAACTTTGTGAGTTCTCTCACATAGGCCTCCAGGAGCATGATAAAGTTGATGTCTTGGCCGTACTAGCATTAACAGAAAAATGATCAATATTGTTTTAGTTCAGAACTAAAGAACATTGTTAAAACAAAAACTAGTAACTAAATAAGTCTGAAGAAAGTAGAACATTACGAATAGACACTAGCAGTGGTAGGATATTTTTTGAAGAAACTTTTCTTCTGGAATGGCTTCTTCACCCTCACAGAGATAACCACAGCTGGAGTGTTTGTGGAGGACAAGGCGAGGCAAAAGGAAAAAAAAGGATCAAGTCCAGTACAGACAGCAAGGGTATGAGAGTTGAGGTACTTGCCAGGCATGGGAGAGTAGGTACATTGCAGCACTCCAAATTCTAACTTCTGTGTGATTACAGTGTCTTGGTTGTGAAGAATTAATTTAGTAGCCACCAAGATGCTGTAATTTACATGCTATAATAAAAATCAATTTCCTTTGCTTTTCATCAGCAAATAATGATATGCAGCTTAAGTGAAATTTGAGAATAATCTCCCTAATAATATGGTGTCTTAACTCTGAGTGCTTCAAAAATGGCATTCTCTTCAATTTTTTTACTGTAAAATGCAGTGTTGAATGGTGCATATGGGTTTAGTGCTTTCAGTGAATACTGTATACAGTAATTTGACACTTTCTTCACTAGACGAGGCGTGAGCACATCAGCAGCGAGATGTGTAGATGACTTAACTCTGAAGCAGGTGGAACCTCAGGACACCCGCAAGTCACTTCTCAGCTCTGAGGAGGTCCAGCACCAGAAGGCTCTTGCTGGTTATATCACTGTTGATACACCAGTAAGACTTGATTTATTTGCATAGCTTTAAATTTTTCAAATAGACTCAGAAAAATGCTGATTTTGCAGTTGTTTTAATGACATTCAATACATTATGCAATAAGGTTTAATATAATGAATCATTAATTTTTTTAATCTAGGTAGTAGGTTGGTAGACAGCAACCGCCCAGGGAGGTACTACCGTCCTGCCAAGTGAGTGTAAAACGAAAGCCTGTAATTGTTTTACATGATGGTAGGATTGCTGGTGTCCTTTTTTCTGTCTCATGAACATGCAAGATTTCAGGTACATCTTGCTACTTCTACTTACACTTAGGTCACACTACACATACATGTACAAGCACATATATACACACCCCTCTGGGTTTTCTTCTATTTTCTTTCTAGTTCTTGTTCTTGTTTATTTCCTCTTATCTCCATGGGGAAGTGGAACAGAATTCTTCCTCCGTAAGCCATGTGTGTTGTAAGAGGCGACTAAAATGCCGGGAGCAAGGGGCTAGTAACCCCTTTTCCCGTATAAATTACTAAATTTGAAAAGAGAAACTTTCGTTTTTCTTTTTGGGCCACCCTGCCTTGGTGGAATACGGCCGGTTTGTTGAAAAAAAAAAAAAGAGAAACTTTCGTTTTTCCTTTTGGGGCACCCCTCCTCGGTGGGATATGGCTGGTATGTTGAAAGAAAGAAAGATTAATTTTTTTAAATACTCTTATTTGTAATGGTTCATTGTTCATTATACTTAATAAGACTAGTAATCTATGCTTTGCCACATATCCATACAGAATTATGAAAGACATTGATAGTCAGACAACTATTGTTGCTTCATTTGTCATGTACAGTAATTTACTCAGAGTTGCAAGAAATGTTCAATACCTTATACCTGGAGAGGGGTTTTGGGGGTCAACGCCCCCATGGCCTGGTCTGTGACCAGGCCTCCCGGTGGATCAGGGCTTGATCAACCAGGCTGTTACAGTATTTTTTTTTTCAGGATGATATTACTCACCTCACTGGTGTACCAGAAGAGCACATTAAAACTCGACGAGTGTTGATCAAGAAACCATCTAAGAACACTATGCAGTCTGGCACCAGTAATATCCATAAGTTAGTGTAATCTAAAAAATTTTTGCCCGAAAGTTGATACAATATAGTTTTCTTTTTGTATTATCAGCAATTCTCATTCAGTTTAATAAAATACTGTATGTATAATATCCTAGGACACTACCAAGTAGTGATGCTCTCTTTTTTAAATGGGGTGTAAAACCCAGTTCTGGTTGGCCAGTGGATTTTTAACTAGTTAGGAGGTCATCATCTGACAGATCCATGTTAGGAGACACTTGTTTGATTTTTTGGCAAACAGTATACATGTACCACCAAATGCGTAGTAAAAAACGTCGAGGCCAAAATTTTGCCTCTTGATTGCTAAGTATTGTGAGGTTGAATTTATAATGTTTATCATATGGTTAATGACTTTCAGATGGTATATTACATTTGATCAGCGTGAGCGTTGGGAGAACCCGCTCATGGGGTGGGCCTCAACAGCAGACCCACTGTCGAATACTGTGGTAAGCCTTTGTCTTTTATCATTAGCACATTGTCCTTCTGGCTATCTGTCAGACCTGTAGTCATGAACTTGTCACTATTTTTTCTTGCCATTTCTTTTTGTATTTTAGCTTCTATTTTTTGATAAGATTGGATCTTGAGAGCAAATATAATTACCAAATTTGTGAAGTTTATAATTAAGCATTGCAGCATTGCTGATTGAGTAGTAAAAAAAATGGTCAAAGGCTCTCTGTGTTTCTATGCAATTGAATTCTCCCCTTAAGAATATTTTTGTCTTTTCATGGGTGCTTTTCATTAAGGGAGTTTAGTTAGTTTAATATGTTTATTATGCACCCCATACCCATCCTGTGGGCGGTAGTCAAAAGATTACAGAGGTACATAATGGGTCCAGGGACTGGGCCTCAAAGTTTTGATAGCTGAGCAAGTTACAGAGGTAATGAATTCACAATTTACAAAGGTAATGAACTCACAATTTACAAAGGTAATGAACTCCAGGTAGGTCTAGTCACAATCATGACAAGTTACAAAGGTATTTACAGATTACAGAGGTACACAATGGGTCCAGGGACCGGGCTCCAAAGTTTTGATGGCTGAACTAGACTAAGTTCTTCATCTCATTAATATTTTCCCTAGTACAGTATATTATGCAGGCCCTCATGCATGTTGTCATATTCTTTGTTTCTCTTGTGTTTTTAATGTTGGTAGAATGCATTTACAATTACAGTATTTGTGTTGCTGTTTATCTTTTGGAGCTTTACTGCTAAAATTACCTTGTTGCCAACTTTATCCCTTCACATTAGTATCCTTCAAATTCTATTTCATTAGGAATTTTTCTTCAGTTGTATTTCAGTTACTCACTGTATTAGGCATTATCTTTGTAATGTCCCTTGGCTATAATCTTTTTGACATTACTATTTTAGTATTTGTGGATAAATTATTACTATTTCACTTACTTAAAAAATAATCTTAAAACAAGATAAGCTTTACTTCAGTTAACAATATTATATTTTTTAATATTTCTTTATTGTAGGTCACACTGTGTGAGGAATAACAATATGGTTAAGTAAATAGAATAGAGGTAGAGTGATGTGTATAAAAATATGATAGGTTTGCATTAAAAAAGAAACAGTAATGCCTGTATGTTAAGTTAGTATTTAGTAATATGCTGGTTTTCCTTAGTGTCAATGGACTTTCACTAAAATTTTCTTAAAATTCTGTGGGCATAATTAAAAGTAGATCTACTAAACCCTCTGTTGTTGAATAAAATAAATCTGTTTTGCTTCAGGTTGACTTTTCATCTCGAGAGGCTGCCATAGCATTTTGTGAAAAGAATGGATGGCAATGGTCGACTGAAGAACCTCCCGTTAAGCCTCCTCGTGTGAAGAACTATGGAGCAAACTTTGCCTGGAACAAGAGAACCAGGCGATCCACAAAATAGTCCACATTGTGCACTTGTATTTATTGCTTAAATTCTCTGATTGCTTTACCCCAGAGATGCAAGATAAATATTATTGGTACAGTAGTAAGTTTTCAGACTACTGCATTGTAGTATAATGTGTAGTGTAAATAGACTGCTACACATGTTAATGCATTTCATATAAAGGTGGCCACATATGTATTTGAAAAATATCCTGTTACAGGTATATCTAATGTTTTCGAAATTTGTTTAAAATATATTCCATTTCAAGGAGTGAGGGTATTCCAGATTATGTGAACTGTTGTAATGAATCTGCTAAATTATGAATGAAGTACGTACAGTACTGATTTGGACTCCTTTGTCATTAAGTTTTATGTAAATATTATCATGTTAATTTTTTCTATCATTTATTATCTCTGTTGAAGTAATACACTATGTAAAGAAACTTGTGGCAAAATCTGACTGTTTATTAAAATTTGTATATACTGTATACCTATGGTGAGTTTCGAGTTTTTTTTACTCCCGGAGTTCAGCCCTGTTCCAGGCTTGTCTGGTGCTTGCTGTACTATTTTTATTTTATTATCACACTGGCTGATTCCCAACAAGGCAGGGTGGCCAGAAAAAGAAAAACTTTCACCATCATTCACTCCATTACTGTCTTGCCAGAAGGGTGCTGTACTGTATACCTAAATTAAGAAAAAAAAATAAAAATAACTGAATCCTTGATTATCCAGTGTACTGTAACTTATTTTGGTTCATTTCTCCGTTGGATTAATATTGGTGGAATTACTGACAATATGTTAAGTAAAAGGACACAAATGCAACTAATGTGATATTTTATTGTGGCAACATTTTGCTCTTCAGGAGCTTTATCAAGCTTGATAAAGTTCCTGGAGAGTGAAACTTAACATTTCTCCGATGGTCACTTCAGTTTTATCAGATCAAATTCTAAAACTAAATTTTTTGCCCGGGTAATGGAAAGCAATATGTTTAGCTCTGTCTTGAGCTTGTCAAGTTGTTTGGGAGGGTTGACACATGTAGCGAAGCGACTGCTATTGATAATTTAAAAAATAAATAATAAAATAAATCTTTATCATGTTGGGAAGTGCCACAAAAATTTTCAGATTAAGTGCCTGAGTACAAAGGAGGATGAGCAGCAAGGTCGAAGATTTGATGGCAGTAGGAGACGGGTTTATGACGAACCTATGCTGAGTAAACCCTTCAAAAGGAAGCGTTAATTCTGGTTATGGGTTCTTGATTCAAGGAATTGGAGCTTCCTCTTCACTGAATCAAACCTGACTACCTCTAATATCCCAGGTGCTATATGACCCCATGAATATTTTATGTTGTAGGATAGCAATGGAATTTTTTAAGTGGGAGCAAAATCAGGAGTGGGAAAGCAACAGAGAAGTTGAGAGGGTAATGACAGGGAAAAGAAAGGACTAATGCGGACTAAGTAGGTACTACACTACCCTGCAGAACAGGTAGTTACTGGAAGCCTGTGATAAGGGAGTCATCATGAGGTTGACTTTTATGAGATGATGCTAGTGATCGAGTCCAGATAAATAGAGTTGGCAGGTTTATTAACAACTGACATGTGAATGGAGATTTTTCTTGATGAAGAATGTCTCTTGATCCATTGGTCAAGTGTGATTAACTTCCCATTTCAAAGGTGCTGTGTGACTTTAGCACAGCCCTATCAGTATATACAGACTGTAATGCAGTATTAGGAGTGGTAATCTAAACTATCTTCTCAATGTGTGTGAAACAATCTATATGAAGCATCAATCGATGACAAGAGATGGTCAATGGGTGGAGAGGTAGCATCTTCTGGCATTATGGAACAAGGTTAGTGATGGGAGGGCTATGAAGAACAAGGCAAGGACTTCAAATAAAAGTGACCATCAGGACTTGGTGAGGTCAGGGGAGGGAGGTCCCAGACATCTATGAGAGGGGGGAAAGTTGTTTGAACCTCCACTGGCACCACAAAAGTGGTCTGGAAGCTTCATAACTTCTCAATTACAGGGAGTACCTTGTCAGCAAAATCTCAAATTCTATTGCTTAGGTTATCAATTAACCGATGGCAATTAGCAAGGCTACTTGTCCCTAACAACTTCTGTAAATGTAATTTTTTTTTTTTTTTTCAACAAGTCGGTCGTCTCCCACCGAGGCAGGGTGACCCAAAAAAAAGAAAGAAAATCCCCAAAAAGAAAATACTTTCATCATCATTCAACACTTTCACCACACACACACATTATCACTGCTTTTGCAGAGGTGCTCAGAATACAACAGTTTAGAAGCATATACGTATAGAGATACACAACATATCCCTCCAAACTGCCAATATCCCAAACCCCTCCTTTAAAGTGCAGGCATTGTACTTCCCATTTCCAGGACTCAAGTCCGACTATGAAAATAACCGGTTTCCCTGAATCCCTTCACTAAATATTACCCTGCTCACACTCCAACAGATCGTCAGGTCCCAAGTATCATTCGTCTCCATTCACTCCTATCTAACACGCTCATGCACGCTTGGTGGAAGTCCAAGCCCCTCACCCACAAAACCTCCTTTACCCCCTCTTTCCAACCCTTTCGAGGACGACCCCTACCCCTCTTTCCTTTCCCTATAGATTTATATGCTTTCCATGTCATTCTACTTTGATCCATTCTCTCTAAATGACCAAACCACCTCAACAACCCCTCTTCTGCCCTCTGACTAATGCTTTTATTAACTCCACACCTTCTCCTAATTTCCACACTCCGAATTTTCTGCATAATATTTACACCACACATTGCCCTTAGACAGGACATCTCCACTGCCTCCAACCGTCTCCTCGCTGCTGCATTTACCACCCAAGCTTCACATCCATATAAGAGTGTTGGTACTACTATACTTTGAACATTAAAATGGTATAAAATACCGACAGATTGTTAGGTAAGACACATATGCAACAGTTAGGTATCTTTATTTCGAAATGTTTCGCCTACACAGTAGGCTTCTTCAGTCGAGTACAGAAAAGTTGATAGAAGCAGAAGATACTTGAAGACGATGTAATCAGTCCATCACCCTTAAAGTTTTGAGGTGGTCAGTCCCATTTTAATGTTCATTCTGTCAGACACTGCAACACAAGGGTATCTTGGTACAGACCATCAACTTCGACCTCTACTAGTGAGAACGGCTGGGTTTGAGAGGGACCTGCCCTCCCAAAGCAACCTACGTCTCACCTCCTGGCACTATATAAAGGCTCCATCCTGTCACTTCAACTTCATATTGTTTCAGACAACGGAACAATGCTCTTCTCCAGACTGAGGGACTGACCACCTCAAAACTTTAAGGGTGATGGACTGATTACATCGTCTTCAAGTATCTTCTGCTTCTATCAACTTTTCTGTACTCGACTGAAGAAGCCTACTGTGTAGGCGAAACATTTCGAAATAAAGATACCTAACTGTTGCATATGTGTCTTACCTAACACTACTATACTTTCATACATTCCCTTCTTTGCCTCCATAGATAACGTTTTTTGACTCCACATATACCTCAACGCACCACTCACCTTTTTTCCCTCATCAATTCTATGATTAACCTCATCCTTCATAAATCCATCCGCCGACACATCAACTCCCAAGTATCTGAAAACATTCACTTCTTCCATACTCCTCCTCCCCAATTTGATATCCAATTTTTCTTTATCTAAATCATTTGATACCCTCATCACCTTACTCTTTTCTATGTTCACTTTCAACTTTCTACCTTTACACACATTCTCAAACTCATCCACTAACCTTTGCAATTTTTCTTTAGAATCTCCCATAAGCACAGTATCATCAGCAAAAAGTGTACCACCATTCATACACAAGAAAGTTGCCTATATGCTAGCTAAAGTCATTGCAACCTTGTTTAATAAGTCTCATATACTAAAACTTTCCCTAAGATCCTTAAGTTAGCTTCTGTTAACCTGATCCACAAAGGAGACCCTACTGACATCAACAATTAAAGACCAATCTCTAATTTACCATTATCGAAAATCTTGCTGTATGACCCTTGTAGGTTTAGCACTTCTTTCTGATTATAATAATAATGTTTAGAATCTTCAGAAGATAATATAGAAATGAATATATGCATTTATCACTAAAGAGAATATTCTACACTCCTGAAGGTTTGACTGCAGGCTGAAACTATGGATGGCAACTGTTTGCCTTCTATACCCCCGGGTGCAGTGCTAAATGACCCTTGTTGGTTTAGCACTTGGTTTTGATTATAATAATAATATACCCCAGGTGCTGTATGAACCCCAGGGTTAGGAAGGAAGTTTTTATTTAGACTCGGGCTACATTATTTTTCAAATTGATTTTGAGTATTATTATTATGGGGAGTACTAAACCCATAGGGATTATACAGTGCCTGTGGGGAGGATGGAAAGCATTCAGGGTCAATTCAGGGAACTAGAGCACAGATCCACTTCCTTAGATCAAGAGCCCCTCACCAGCATCAGGAACCTCCTTGAGGGGGGCATTTTGAGGATATATGTTACAGGCACAAAAATAATGTTATGCAGATTTGACCTATGATAACCTAATGAAATCAAACTGGGACTTATTTTCCCTAAATATAATGGTAATAATAATAAATCACACCCTTCTTTGGATTACCTTTGGTAATTTACATTATGTATGATAATCGTGCTTATGTGTACCTGTGCCTAAATAAACTTACATTGGTGGGCAGAGGCTTTCTGCCCATCAGCGACTCCTGCAGGTGGACTCTCCCTCCTGCAGGTGGACTCTCCCTCCTGCAGGTGGACTCTCCCTCCTGCAGGTGGACTCTCCCTCCTGCAGGTGGACTCTCCCTCCTGCAGGTGGACTCTCCCTCCTGCAGGTGGACTCTCCCTCCTGCAGGTGGACTCTCCCTCCTGCAGGCGACTCCTTCCTGCAGGTGGGCTCTCCCTCCTGCAGGTGGACTCTCCTTCCTGCAGGTGGACTCTCCTTCCTACAGGTGGACTCTCCTTCCTGCAGGTCGACTCTCCTGCAGGTGGACTCTCCCTCCTGCAGGTGGACTCTCCTTCCTGCAGGTGGACTCTCCCTCCTGCAGGTGGACTCTCCCTCCTGCAGGTGGACTCTCCCTCCTTCAAGTGGACTCTCCTTCCTGCAGGTGGACTCTCCTTCCTGCAGGTGGACTCTCCTTCCTGCAGGTGGACTCTCCTTCCTGCAGGTGGACTCTCCCTCCTGCAGGTGGACTCTCCCTCCTGCAGGTGGACTCTCCCTCCTGCAGGTGGACTCTCCCTCCTGCAGGTGGACTCTCCCTCCTGCAGGTGGACTCTCCCTCCTGCAGGTGGACTCTCCCTCCTGCAGGTGGAATCTCCCTCCTGCAGGTGGACTCTCCCTCCTGTAGGTGGACTCTCCTTCCTGCAGGTGGACTCTCCCTCCTGCAGGTGGGCTCTCCTTCCTGCAGGTCGACTCTCCTGCAGGTGGACTCTCCCTCCTGCAGATGGACTCTCCTTCCTGCAGGTGGACTCTCCCTCCTGCAGGTGGACTCTCCCTCCTGCAGGTGGACTCTCCTTCCTGCAGGTGGACTCTCCTTCCTGCAGGTGGACTCTCCTTCCTGCAGGTGGACTCTCCTTCCTGCAGGTGGACTCTCCTTCCTGCAGGTGGACTCTCCTTCCTGCAGATGGACTCTCCCTCCTGCAGGTGGACTCTCCCTCCTGCAGGTGGACTCTCCCTCCTACAGGTGGACTCTCCCTCCTGCAGGTGGACTCTCCCTCCTGTAGGTGGACTCTCCTTCCTGCAGGTGGACTCTCCCTCCTGCAGGTGGGCTCTCCTTCCTGCAGGTGGACTCTCCTTCTGCAGGTGGACTCTCCTTCCTGCAGGTGGACTCTCCTTCCTGCAGGTGGACTCTCCTTCCTGCAGGTGGACTCTCCCTCCTGCAGGTGGACTCTCCCTCCTGCAGGTGGACTCTCCCTCCTGTAGGTGGACTCTCCCTCCCGCAGGTCGATTCTCCCTCCTGCAGGTGGACTCTCCCTCTTGTATGTGGACTCTCCCTCCTGCAGGTGGACTCTCCTTCCTGCAGGTGGACTCTCCCTCCTGCAGGTGGACTCTCCCTCCTGCAGGCGGACTCTCCCTCCTGCAGGTGGACTCTCCCTCCTGCAGGTGGACTCTCCCTCCTGCAGGTGGACTCTCCCTCCTGCAGGTGGACTCTCCCTCCTGCAGGTGGACTCTCCCTCCTGCAGGTGGTTCCTCGGCAAGCTCAGTGATTCCTCTGAGTGGAAAGCCTCTACATCATTTATTCTACACTAGATGGACTTTGACCTGCCAACTTGAACCAAATAAACATACATATATATGTACTTTAAATTTAACCCTGGGAATCAGAGGACGAGTGAGAGAGATATAACCAATGGTTCACGTCCTGTGTCGCCATGAGGGTTCATACAACCCCGAGACCAAAAAAACAGTATTTTGAAAAGGACACTTATGTACAGTTCATGCCATTTATTAGAGGAAACGAGTGGCTTCTTCAGACCTAACAAAGATTGCAGAAGCCACTCGGGGTGAAATGTTTCCTCAATAAATGTCGTAAACTGTATTTAAACGTCTTTTTCTCTCCCTGTGACCGTCATAACCTTTCAACCCAACAATAACAATCAAAATCAAAATGCAGTTTTAATTTTGGGTGATGGGAGATGTGGGCACCTGAAAGGCCGCCGGGAAATGAAAATCACATTCATATTTTCGTGTTGCCTGGCAAAGATTTTCGAAGATATGATGAAGCGGAGGCGGAAGAAGTGGATGTTGTTGAGTGTAGTTGTGTTGGTGTTGGTGGTGGTGATGGTGGCTCTCAGGGACGCTATGTTAGCCTCTAGGATCATCTGCTCCACCACTGACATCCTACATAATCATATTACTCTTTTGGTGAGCGTCTGCCCTCACTTCTCTCTGTCCTCCCCTCAATTCCATCTCCCCTCAGTTCCACCTCCACTTAATTCCATCTCCCCTCAATTCCATACCACCTCCTCCCCTCACTTCTACCTACCCTCGCTTCCACATCATCTCACTTCAACATTCACCTCACTTGAACATCACCTCACTTCCAAATCACCTCACTTCAACATCACCTCACTTTTCCCCATCACCTCACTTTAACATCACCTCACTTCCAAATCACCTCACTTGAACATCACCTCACTTCCACATCACCTCACTTCAACATCACCTCACTTCAACATCACCTCACTTCAACATCACCTCACTTCAACATCACCTCACTTGAACATCACCTCACTTCCACATCACCTCACTTCAACATCACCTCACTTCAACATCACCTCACTTCCACATCACCTCACTTCAACATCACCTCACTTCCACATCACCTCACTTGAACATCACCTCACTTCCACATCACCTCACTTCAACATCACCTCACTTCAACATCACCTTACTTCCACATCACCTCACTTCAACATCACCTCACTTCCACATCACCTCACTTCCACATCACCTCACTTCCACATCACCTCACTTTTAACATCACCTCACTTCAACATCACCTCACTTCAACATCACATCACTTCCACATCACCTCACTTCAACATCACCTCACTTCCACATCACCTCACTTGAACATCACCTCACTTCCACATCACCTCACTTCAACATCACCTCACTTCAACATCACCTCACTTCCACATCACCTCACTTCCACATCACCTCACTTCCACATCACCTCACTTGAACATCACCTCACTTCCACATCACCTCACTTCCACATCACCTCACTTCAACATCACCTCACTTCAACATCACCTCACTTCCACATCACCTCACTTCAACATCACCTCACTTCCACATCACCTCACTTGAACATCACCTCACTTCCACATCACCTCACTTCAACATCACCTCACTTCCACATCACTTCACTTCAACATCACCTCACTTCAACATCACCTCACTTCAACATCACCTCACTTCAACATCACCTCACTTCAACATCACCTCACTTCAACATCACCTCACTTCAACATCACCTCACTTCAACATCACCTCACTTCAACATCACCTCACTTCAACATCACCTCACTTCAACATCACCTCTCTTCTATATCTCACCTCTTCCTCCCTCACTTTAGCTCCCTGTCACCTCATATACCCTCACCTTAGTGATCCACTATTTGTACCCAGGTAGGCTTTCTGTCTCCCCTCATCTGTCAATGTACATTTTGTCTCCTTTCACCTTTTTTCTCATGTATATTTTCTGTCTCCTCTCAAAACTATTTTGGTAGGGTTTTTCTGTCTCCCTTCACCTAGTCTGTGTCCTGGTAGGCTTCTGTTGCATCCCCTCACCTGTGCCTTGCTAGGGCTCCTGTCTTCCTTACCTGCATCTGTGTCCTGGTAGGCTTGCTAGGAGAATAACCATCAGTTACGCTGGATAGTAGATATTGTATACCACCCATCATTGATAGTCTTAGAAATACTGGAATCACTGTACCATCATATATATAATAAAATGGCATGACTTTTGCAACACTTTAAATGTATATAATTATGATAAATATTGTTCACATATTCATATTCCTTCATCTCTGTAATCTGTAAAAAATTTTAAATACATTGCAGTATTTAATGCTGCATTTTTTTGTAGAGTACCTTACAGTACAACATTTTTACTATGCATTTTTTCCAGTGCAAAGAAGTTGAAAATGATGCCAAGCTTCCTCATGGACATACACTGTCAAGCCAAGACTTGTGTAGGGAGCTATGTGTCGCAGATGTACCATCAAGAATAACGTGCCACACATTCCACCTCAACAAACCAACAGTGTTCACTTTGTATGGTAGTGGTAAAAAGGTCATCAAATCTGTTATAAAACCAGAGGACCAAGAAGAATCCATAGGCGAGTCCACTGCTGATGAAGAGGAGGTAAGCTGCCTTTGTAATTGACACATACAAAATAGATTCTTTAAGCAATGACTATTTTTATAATTATTATATGGGCTTTTTTAGTACATATACAGTTACTTATATAATAATACTAATAATAATAATAATTATAATATTTTATTGACCAAAAATGTTAAAATTTTTAAAAGCTCATAGATATACACAACATATAGGGCATATACAACGTATATTATACAGTGTATATAGCTAACATGTCCAAGCAATGGCTCAGTGTGACTCATCTGCTCGTTCAAATGAGGTTTTCAAGACAGTATCCAGGTTAAGCTTTTTTATTTTGGATATTGTCAGGGTGAGCTGCATTCAGTGAGTAAACGAGTCGTGTGTGGTTTGTGAGCAATGGCTTGCCCACACGTGGTATATGAGTGCAGTATCAGTACGTATTTAAAAACTAAAAATATGTATCTTACTTATAGTTTGTGTGATCTGTCATATTATACAATTATAATAATGTACTATACATGCAAAACTGCTATGAGAAAGCTTAATATACAGTGTAACTTTGAAAATCGAACGTACCAAATATCGAACGTTTCGAAAATAAGACCATTTTTTCGGTCAAACTGTGTACCAAAAATCGAATGCGTTTCAAATTTCGGACCGCCGGATATGGGACCTGTCCGCTGGCCCGCTCTGTCCGCGTCCCCGCGCAGGCGCCGTGAGCAGTCTTGCTTTGTTTATGCTTGAGTGAACACTAACCTACGCTCTCATTCACACATTTTACGATTATTTCGTTGTGTTTAGTGCTTGTGGGACTGTGAAATAAACTTGCTAGTGGTACCCCTGTGGTAAAGAAAGTGAGAAACACCATAGATGTGAAGAAGGAAATAATACAGAAGTATGAGAGTGGTGTGAGACTTGTTGAGGGAGGGAGAGAGTGGATGAGGTGCTTTCTTCAAAGATTAAGGAGATTTGTGCCAAGTGGAATGATGTCCAAATGTTTGTGCAGAAGTACCACCCTGAGCAAGCTGAAACAAGCCATCTTTGCAACAAGTTCAGTGACAGAACCATGTCCCATTTTAGGGAAATGTTAAAGAGGTGCCAGAAACAGAGGACTGTGGACAGTTATTTTGTGAGACAGGGGTCCAGTGACTCTCAAGCTGGTCCTAGTGGCATTAAAAGACAGAGAAGGGAAGTAACCCCAGAGAGGGTTTTACCTGAAGTCCTCATGGAGGGGGATTCTCCTTCCAAACACTAACCCCAACTCCCTCTCTCCTCCTCCCTATCTTCCAGATGCCATCACCAATCTTCAATAAAGGTAAGTAAAAATGTTATTTTATATTTTATATTATATGTATGTATTATTTTATATGTATGTTTTTTTATATGTATGTAAAACTGTAATTAATCTCTATAAAATGTGTTTTTTGTGTGAATATTTTTGGGTTTCTGGAACGGATTAATTGTATTTCCATTATTTCTTATGGGAAATATTGATTCGAATTTCAGACTTTTCGAAATTAGAACTAGCTCCTGGAACGGATTAAGTTCGATTTTTGAGGTTCCACTGTATAAGAAAAGGTTACTGTGCTTTATATCAGTCACATTGTTTCCTGGATATATACTGATAGACTCAAAATATTCATGTGAGGAGAGTTGAAATGAAGTTAAGTTTGATAAACATGCAGATACTTTATTAATTAAGGAGAGGTCACTCTTCACTAATATTTAGTCATTTATTTAAAAGGGAGCCTATATCTCTATGTACAACTTAAGGAATTAAATTTTAGATGGTGGTTTTAGCTTAAATATGGTAGCTTAATTGTTTAACCCTTAAACTGTCCAAACAAATTTCCGTTCACATGTGTAGCGCTCCAAAAGTAGATCTACGTTTTTTTACATATTTTCAAATATAACAAAAAAAAGTAGATCAAAGTTTTTTTTTACACGTTTTCAAATGTAGAAAAAAGAAAAGAAGATCTACGTTTTTTTACATACTTTCAAATGTTGAAAAAACATAGATCTACGTTTGGACAGTTTAAGGGTTAATGGGTGAGGATTAATTTTATATATTGTGTTATTAATCTTTTCAATATCTTTAATGTCTAGAGAATTGAAGGACCATGGGGTCAAGTACTTGTTATATCTTACAGATTGGTCAGTCTTGCTTAAAATTGAAGACATTACAGTGTTAGAAGAATCTTTATGTTCACTTACTGTATTTCGCGGCTTATTAGATGCATTTTTTTTACCATAAAATGTCTCCAAAAACCACCCTGCATCCTATAAACTGAAGGTCAGTGACAGGAGCTATAAGTTTGGGGTGTGGGGTGGGCCGTAGCTCTCCCAGTTACATCCAATGCCGAGCCATTGAAACTAAAACAAGTCTTATAAGCCACATCTTATGAGCCACAAAATACAGTAGTATCAACCTAGCTTTTTATATCCTGATGAATTAGACACTTGTGCAACACTTGGGTATCTTTACTGTGGAAACATATTGCCAACCAGTGACTTCCTCAGTCCAATACAGAGAAGAATGGTTGAAGATCAGGAGTTTGAGGTACAGTGGACCCTCGGGTAACAATGCCATTGGATAGTAATAAAATTGGATACCAATGCATTTTTGTGTAAAAAATATTGGCTCGGCCAACGATGAAAAGCTCAGTTAACCCTTTGACTGTTTCCGACGTATAAATACGTCTTACGAGCCAATGTTTCTGACGTATTTATACGCACAAATTCTAGCGGCTTCAAATCGCGCGCCAAAGGCCTGGTAGGCCTACACGGGAGAGAATGGGTCTCAGTGGTCGGTGTGCACCCTGTGAAAAAAATCTGGGACCTAGCGGTGCATTGTGGGAACGCCATGTTGTCAGTCCATTTTCACCATGCCTCTTGGTAAGAAGTTCCTCACTCCTCGGCGGATTGGAGGTCTTTTGTTCCCAAGTGATAGCTCTAACAGCGATGAAAATGTCAGTGACAGTGAATTCAAGCGTTTTCAAGTGAGTGTTACCGAAAAAAGTGCCCAGGATAACGTAAATAGTGACGAAAACCCAGATGACCCACAACCTTCGACCTCTGGTGCTGTGCCGGCTTGTTCACATTCACCTTCGCCCGTACCAGGACGAAAGAGGAAACTATTTGGTCGTGTACAACACCCTGATGATAGCAGTGATAGTGATAGTGATTTCAAGGTCATTGAAAGCAGTTCTAGTGACAGTGAGAGTGAATATTCCCCAGTGAAGCGCCAGTATGTACGACGTAGCATGCGGTCTGGTAGTGTTTCATATGTTGTTCCAAGGGGAAGGAGAAACTCTGGGAGCACATCCCATGGCCCAACACCACGACCTGATAGTGAAGATGACGATATTGTAACGATGGGTATGAATGGTGACAGTGAGGGAGGAGGCAGTGGTGGTGATAGTGAGGGTGGCACGGCCCATGTGGCACCATCACCGGGCCACGCTACTAGCCACGCGGCTGACTCAGCAGAACAACCAGCCTCACCCTACCCCACACTGCCACAACCTGCACCACCACAACCTGCACAGCCACAACCACAGCCACAACCACGGTACAATATCCAGACCCCACCAGCAGACCGCATCTGGGATTGGCAGGACGGTGACGAGTTTGTTCCCAGTCCCCATGACTTTGATGAAACACAAAGTGGAATAAAGCCATCTTGTCCACTTGGGAACAATGCCAGTGAACTGGACTGCTTTGAGTTATTCTTCGATGAACCCCTGATGGACATCATTGTCAGGGAAACCAACACATACTGTGAATACACCATGGCAAATACAATTCTCTCACCAAAATCACGGCTACACAAGTGGAAGGAGACAACTGTGGCAGAGATGTACCTGTTTTTTGCCACAATAATGCTTATGCCACATGTGTATAAGCACACTGTCACCACATACTGGACAACAAATCGCCTGATTTCAACTCCAGGTTTTAGTGACATTATAGGTGTCAATCGTTTCCTGATACTGTTGCGTATGTTACACTTTTCAGACAAAACCAGGCCTGACAGAAGCGACAGGTTATATAAGATAAGAAATGTGTTATGTACCTGAAACAAAAGTGCTGCATGTATTTTTATCCCTTCAGGAAGCTTGTTATTGATGAGTCCTTGATTTTATTCAAAGGAAGACTCTCATTCAAGCAATATATACCAAGCAAGAGGAAACGCTTTGGTATAAAGCTATTTGTACTGTGTGATTGCAGAAGTGGTCTTGTTTTAGATATTATTGTGTACACTGGCAGTAATACTTTGAGAGATACCATGAAGTTATTGGGTATCTCTGGTGATGTGGTTCGAACAATGATGGAACCATATCTTGGTAAGGGGCATATGTTATTTACTGATAACTGGTACACAAGCCCCTTACTCAGTGATTTCTTGCGAGTGAACTTGACAGACGTGTGTGGCACAGTGCGTGGTAATCGCAAACATATGCCAAGGTTCGACGCTGGCACTCGCAGAGGTGAGGTGCAAGCCTTTGCTGCCAATGACATCATGGCATTTCGGTGGCATGACAAACGTGATGTCACATTGTTGACATCAGTTCACACAAACGAAATGGTACCCAGTGGCAGGGACAACAGAGAGACCAATGAACCCATTCTAAAGCCTGCAGCTGTCATGGACTACAACCTCAATATGCGCTTAGTGGACAAATGTGACATGCAGATTGGGTTTGCAGACTGTGTACGCAAGAGTTATAAGTGGTATATCAAACTTTTTTTCCATCTTGTTGATATCTCTATGCTAAATGCTTATAACATATACAAGTTGAAGACCAACAAAACACCAAAATATGGTGAATTTTGCCTGTCAGTAATCAGACAAATAATTGCAAAGTACAAAGGAGCAACTCCTGCAATAGACCAGCGCCCACAGACGTCATCTCGTTTGAGGCCTGGTGATCACTACCCCATACAACTGCCTCCTACTACTGCCAAGAAAAATGCTCAGAAGAGGTGTTATGTATGTATGCATACCACAAAACGCCCACAAACACGCAGAGACACTCGTTTTATGTGTGAGGAGTGTGAAGTGCCCCTCTGCATATACCCATGTTTCAAAGAGCTCCACAAGCTGCAGCAGTTCTAGGAACGTGGTTAGTGACTGTACATATGTATATATATTATGGAACACTAGTAATAAACATTGTTTTGTATTGTTTGTTTGTGTAAACAAAGTGTATACACAAACTAATAGTGATAAAGTTTGTTCTGTTATTGTGTTGTAAATAATGAGTGTATATTTGAACAATGCACCTTACATTGGTCTCACAGGCCACATAAGTTACCTGGAAAAGAAAAATATTGAAAAATGCAAGAAACCTTTGAATTAGAGTAAATAAAAGAATACCGGGTGGGCGGCAGTCGCCGCTGTTGCCGTACGCACGTCAATTTCTGCAAACTTTGCGGCTCTATATCTCGGTAAGTACTGATGGCAAAAATTTTTTTTTAGGCTTAAAACACTAGTAAAAATATTCCTAACATTTTCATAAGAAAAAATAATTTTTTTTTTTTCGAATATTTGGCGACATAGAATGACAGTTTCAGAGAGGGCCCTGAAACAGTCAAAGGGTTAAGGACATTCGTCCCGAACGCGTCCACCCAGTCACTATGTACAGGCAGTGTGCCATTGTTTACAAGCCTGGACGGTTCCACTCATACATGCAATATATTTTGTATTATTCCATTGTTTTCAGTGCTTGTAACTGCTAAATGAGCCACCATGGACCCCAAAAAAAGTTTCTAGTGCCAGCCCTGTGATAAAGAAGGAAAGAGACAATAAAATTCAAGAAAACCTTGTAGCAAAGTACCAAGGTGGAGGAGGAAGAGAGAGGGGTGAATGTGCCTTCTGCAGGGATTAAGTGATTCTACGATATGTACGATACTAAAGCATCAGGTATCGATAAAGGCTATAGAGCCGGCCAGCGATAAAGTGTAGAATTAACAGTGTAGCGAGTAAGCAATAGAAAAACGACACGGAAGTAACTCTCCAATGTTGTTGAATGTGTATCGGGCCGCTGAACATATGCCGGCCTGCTACATATCTTCCGCCACCCTAAACCTCTGCCAGCATCTCCTCCATCAAACTAACTAATTAAACTAACATCTCCTCCAAGGTAAGTGTAAATATTTCTTATTTATAAATTAAAATGTAAATATTTCTTATTTATAAATTACATATACTATTGTTTGTGGATAGTGGTGGTGGCAGAAGCCTCCTCCACCACTAATATGTACGGCTTCTCTCAGTGGCCATTATACACCCAACAACAACACTTCCAGCACTTTCTCCTCAAATACATAATGACATATTTTATTCATTCTAGAGTATATATCATGTTTCTATATTATTAATATTGTTTATTATGTCATATTAGATGAATATTGATAGATAAATAAGCTGTAGAGTTGATAATAGCATCATATTGAAGTACTATTCTGTCAAGCCTCCTGACAGCAAGAACGGATTAATTGGATTTCCATTATTTCTTATGGGGAAAATTAAATCAGCTAACGATAAAATCGGTTAAGGACAAGCTCTCTGGAATGGATGGACTGATTACACTGACTCCAGGCTGAGGGACTGATTACCTTAACCCTTTGGTAGGCAAAAACGAAAATTGCGAATTTTGAAATGTTTTTTCCCTATGGGTGGATAGTGTCTCAACGTAAAGTAAATGAGCCCATAGAAAGGAATATGTGAAAGTTTGCTTTCAATCAATTGCCAATATGAGAAGACCAACAAGAGTAGGTCTTGCCTATCAATGGGTGAACGTATTTAAATGTTACAAAGTTGCAATTGTTAATAAAACACCAAATAACTACACCTACCATCCGACTTACGACCGAGTTCGGTTCCAAGAAACCGGTCGTAAGTCGAAATGGTCGTAAGTCAAACTTTACTACTGAATATCAACATGACATTTTTGTAATGACTTTATTTTATTGTTTTATTTTGGTATTTCATGTTTTACTTTACTTTTTATGCTGTTAGTACTGTATTTTATACTGTAAGGTTTAGGATAAACACTGTGTACAACACAAACACTTGTTTATTTCCCAGAAATTTGGCATAAAAAACACTGTCATAAGTCGAGTCGTCGTAAGTCGAGCAGGTCGTAAGTCGAGCAGGTCGTAAGTCGAGCAGGTCGTAAGTCGGATGGTAGGTGTATTTTTTTTAATTTTATTATTCAAAAAGACAATATCAAACACACAAATTAAACTTGTTTTCAAACACTTTGTAAGTATTAAAAAAATACAAAAATGAATCAAGTAGCAACATGGACACATTTCAAAGGTATATAACTTTCAATTCCCACATTCCTGAGTTTCCTGAGAAAGAATAATCATTCTAGATCACTAATTTGTACAATTTCTATCCTTCTTGATGTATATATTTACTTTGCATATGGCACAGGAAAATGAGGATGTGGCAAGTATTCATCACTGCTGTCAAGCAATTCCAGGTGATCTGGCTCTGGATCTGAGTCACTTTCCTTCAAAATGCAGAGATATTTGGACTTGTCTTTGGAGGATTCACCATAAAACAATTTCTCATTGATCTGGAAGGACAATAAAAACGTTCTGTACACACCCAGACTACTACAGAATTGTTATATGCATTACAATTTTTTTTATAAATATTTATTTACTGAAATTTAAAATGGGGCCAAAATAGGCAAGAACGATAATTTTTGGTCTTTTTTTGTTGCACTTTTTTCATATGCATGGTGCACTCACATTATGCTTCACACAGACTTTATGTATATATCAAAATATACCTAAACTATTCATTTGCGCACTAGAAACACAATTGAGTACTTACCGACATTGTAGAGGGTAAAATCCAAGGGTATATGAGTGTCACTCGATGAAAAAAAGTCTCTTGGTGACGCCAAGCTAGAAGTGTTTACATTTTGGTCTCTCAACCTATGGGAAGCGAATAGAACCCATCACCACTTAGCTGGAGCGACTCAGGGAACGCATGTGATTGGTCAGAAATAGAGAATGGGAGCACAGATGCACAGAAGGTGTAGGAGGAATGCGCCAAATATCATGCTTTCAGGAACGACAAATGTCATTCCTGCCTAATAAAGGGTCTTCAATCATTCTTCTCCACATTGGACTGAGGAAGCCAGTGGTTATATACCTTTACCTTTAAAGAGTTTCGAGAGTTTAACTACTCTCAAAGCCTGGCCATGGGCCAGGCTCGTCCGGTGCTTACCTGATCAACCAGGCTGTTGCTGCTGGAGGCCCACTGCCCCACATATCCATCACAGCCTGGTTGATCTGGCATGTAGTGAAGATACTTGGCAAAACGTTTCCACAATAAAGATACTCAAGTGTTACACAAGCGTCTAATTTATCAATTTCTCGATTCTATGAACCAGTAATCTGCATTCATATATCCTGCAGTGAATGATACTTCTAACCCTCTCATCATACATACTTTCAGATTTTCTGTATTGTTTATGTTTTCTTTCAGGTGTATTGGAAATTAAAATCTGGCAATCAGTACTTCCCAACCAAAGATAACCTGCAAAGTATGGTAAATATATACATCAGCAACTTTGTGGGTAATGATATTGATAAGGCTATTATCAGTAAACTCTTAAATCTGAGTAAGTTGTATCACTCTGAGACAGAAACTCTTGCAAATCATAGAAATTTTTGGTTGTTAATACAAGATCATGAATTTTTGACATCGTTTGCCTTTGAAAAACTACAACTTTTTCCAAGTGTTTTAGGAACCTGTGGAACATATTATGCCATGCAGCACCTTGAACCATTAACAGAAAATCCGATGCTGCCCTTTGAACTCACCTGGAGAAAAAGATTATGGAAAGCTTTAGATATTATAAAGTATATACGACAACTGGAAACAGTTTGGACAGAGCCTATACATTTATGTGATGTGAAACATGATCACTTTGGCTGGAATGATAAAGGAAAAGTGATGTTTCTTGATCTGGATTCTGTATTGCCTGAAACCTCTCTTCTGAAGACTATGGAGAATACTCCACATTGTTCAGATAATGAGGACTGTTCATACTTTGACTGTAAAGGACGGTGTCATCTTAAAACTTCCAAATGTGAATTGAAGCGAACTAATACCAATTTGCAAGTTATCTGTGACAAGATTTTCCTTGGTAATACAGAAAGTTTATTTTCTCTCTATGGTTTGTTAGTGTCATACGAAGCTAATGAAGAATTGAGAGAAGCTCTGGAACTATGCAAAACTAACCGAGGTATGACTGTTGATGGAATGGTGGATGTATTAACTAAGGCTTCAAATTCTCTCTTGTATTAAACTTACATTTAGCAACTGCTTATTCTACTTAACTGAATCTCAGCCTCTGATATTACGTATATGTAAACTGTATTTTAAAAATTGTATCACTAATGGTTCCATAACTTTTTATCGAAGTTATGTGCACAAAAGATACTTCATCTTATGTAACGTAATATTTTTCCTGTACAATGTACTATACCTGTAGTTAAAATATACAACATTATTCAGTGGCTCTGCAAATATTGGTGGAATGGCTTTGGTAATAACTGCTACTGATAACTGTAATGAGCAGATATATACTGGTTAAAATAAAGCTGAACAAGGATTGTTTGTGGATACAATGTAATGCAAAGTTTACAAATCCCACTAAACACACTGTAATTTTTACTATTTTATCACCCCAGGTATAGTACAGTACAGTATATGTATTAAGTAGAAGATTTAATATCATTGAAGAAGTGTGAATATCTAAGCTATGGTTATGTACTGTAATTTAAGGGAAAAATCTCATTTATAGTGTACCATTGATATCTGTCTTTTTCTAAATGGGTCAAACTGCATTTGATTTTGTAATACATTCAAAATTATCTTCACATTATTGGTGATGTGAATTATATGATTTAGCTGGACGGTTTACAAGTACATTAAAAATTTAACGCTAAATTTTGGTTGTATGCTATTGAAAAGGCTTTTGTTATTCAATATTTTATTGTAAAATGTGATCTACGACAGGGCATAGTCAAGTACACAGTACAAGCATGTGACTGGGTCCAGGACTTACTACAACATTCAAAGACCATACCAAAGGTTTTTTAAGTGATATTATTTATATTTTTATATACGTTACTGATAAAATAGACAACTTTTGTGTTGTGTGTCGTCTATGGCTTGAATGTAGGTATGATATTAATGAATAATATATATCTTAGTCTTTTTTAGCTAAAATTCTGTCCAGGGGAAAATCAGTTTTATACTGCAATAGTTCATAGTAGCTTAATCTATGGCAGTTTATCAATTAATATTTAGATACGGTGGTTTTTCTTTATCTCAGAGAACTGGTGTTTTTTTCTGTGCATGGAGGTGGATCACCTGTATCCTTCTGTAGTCTATCCTCATTAGCACTGTCTGTTCTTCACCATGGCTGTCAAATCACTGAGGCTTTTTCTTTGAGCTAATATCTATATCACCTATATCCTGTTCCCTTTCCTCGAGTTATTTTGCATGTGACCTCTGTTCTATTGTTTTTCTTGGAATTACTTTGCATATCACCTTTGTTGTATTGTTTTTCCAGGAATTACTTTGCATACTACCTTTGTTCTTTTGTTTTTCCTGGAATCACTTCTGCTTTATTGCAGTTTCTTGAACATTGTTCCCAAATATAGAAGATTGTTCTTAACTTCATTTTATTCACCATTCATTGCAATACTGTGGCTTACACTGTCTCACAAATATATCAATTTTATATGTGCTCTTTCAACATCCTCATATTCAAATGTGGCAGGAACCCAAAGATTATATTACCTCAGGTTGCTGAGTTTATTATGTGTACAAGAAGCACTTACTGCTCTCCATGTTACTTCTTTGTATGCCTCAGGCATAAGTAACTAAATAACAAAAAGGTACAATACCGTGACTGGAACAATACAACACAAATAACCCATACATAGGAGAGAGAAGCTTATGACAACGTTTTGGTCCGACATGGACCATTTACTACTATGTACTGGAGTTTACCTGGAGAGTGTTCCAGGGGTCAACGCCCCTGCGGCCCGGTCTGTGACCAGGCCTCATGGTGGATCAGGGCCTGATCAACCAGGCTGTTACTGCTGGCTGCACGCAATCCAACGTATGAACCACAGCTCGGCTGGTCAGGTACTGATTTTAGGTGCTTGTCCAGTGCCTGCTTGAAGACACCCAGGGGTCTGTTGGTAATCCCCCTTATGTATGCTGGGAGGCAGTTGAACAGTCTTGGGCCTCTGACACTTATTGTGTTGTCTCTTAACGTGCTAGTGACACCCCTGCTTTTCAGTGGGGGGATGTTGCATCGTCTCCTGAGTCTTTTGCTTTCATAGGGAGTGATTTTCATGTGCAAGTTTGATACTAGTCCCTCTAGGATTTTCCAGGTGTATATAATCATGTATCTCTCCTGCCTGCGTTCCAGGAAGTACAGGTTCGGGAACTTCAAGCTCTCCCAGTAATTGAGGTGTTTTATCTCCGTTATGCGTGCCGTGAAGGTTCTCTGCACATTTTCTAGGTCAGCAATTTCACCTGCCTTGAAAGGTGCTGTTAGTGTGCAGCAATATTCCAACCTAGATAGAACAAGCGACCTGAAAAGTGTCATCATGGGCTTGGCATCCCTAGTTTTGAAGGTTCTCATTATCCATCCTGTCATTTTTCTAGCAGTTGCAATTGATACAATGTTATGGTCCTTGAAGGTGAGATCCTCCGACATGATCACTCCGAGGTGTTTGAATTTAGTTTCTCACTCTATTGTGTGGTTGGAATTTGTTTTATACTCTGATGAAATTTTAATTTCCTCATGTTTACCACATCGGAGTAATTGAAATTTCTCATCGTTGAACTTCATATTGTTTTCTGCAGCCCACTGAAAGATTTGGTTGATGTCCGCCTGGAGCCTTGCAGTGTCTGCAATGGAAGACACTGTTATGCAGATTTGAGTGTCATCTGCAAAGGAAGACACGGCACTTTGGCTTATATCCCTGTCTACTACTACTTCCTCTAGCACTACTTCTCTTCTTCCTTTCCTACTACCTCTCTTGTCCAGTCCTTGTCTGTTGGCCTATATATACTCCCTCCTTCTCTTCTCTCCTTTTTGTTAGTGTGACTTTGTAAATGGTCCAAGCCAGACCGAAACGTCGTCATAAGCTCCTCTCTCCAATGTGCGGGTTATTTGTGTATTGTTCAGGCATAAGAGTTAAGACAGTACAGTTGTTACCATTGTTTTCATAGATTTTTTTATGGCTCCTCTACATATTAGTGTAGAACATTATGAATATACTGTACTATATTTGGTATTTTAGATAAACACTCAGCATAGTAGACCGATTGCACAATAATGTTGGTACTCATGACATTAAGGCATATCTAATACTGTATCATTCCTTATTTGGGAGGTTTGTACCTGTAACTCTGTTATTCAACAAACGTTTTCTTATTACTGTAGTATTATTTTAGATACAATTCTGAATACATTCATCCAGGAGATTTTATTTATTTATATATTTATTAACACATCGGCCGTTTCCCACCAAGGTAGGGTGGCCCGATAAAGAAAAACTCTCATCATCATTCACTCCATCACTGTCTTGCCAGAGGCATGCTGACACTACAGTTATAAAACTGCAACATTAACACCCCTCCTTCAGAGTGCTGGCACTCTGAAAGATATCACTGGCTCATACCTGTCACCTGTAGCTCAGTTGGTAGTGCACTCAGCTCAGACATTGAGTGTCTGTGGTTCGATCCCTGGTACGGGTGGAAATATTTTTTTTTATATTTTATTTAAAAATACATTACAATACATTAAAAATAAAAGAATCTCTACTCCAATGCTAAATACCAGTTTATACATTTCATCAATCTTAATATATTACAATAAGCCTGAATATTTCAATTACATGTATACTTATCACCCAACTAATAGGTGTACAATGTCATTACACAGAATTCCATGAAATTTACTTAAGAATTAATACAAATATTGACAATCCTCACAATCCTTCCCGTCTTCTAAATACAGTGTACACACATTCAGTTACATTTCGTTATGATCTAATCATAATTAAATTACCCCCCCCTCCCTTTTCCCCAGTGCAAAAATAAATGCCACTTGCACTAAACGTCACAACATCTTACATTTTTTCACTTAACTTATAAAATAATAACTATGTAAAGTAAAAGGACACAAGTGCAACTAATGTGGCATTTTATTATGGCAAGGTTTCGCTCTCCAGGAGCTTTATCAAGCCGTTACAAACAATACATGGACACAGAGGGTATATATAGGCTCAGAGTGAGGTGCAATACTAGTAGTAGTAGTAGTAGTAGTAGTAGTAGCAGTAGCAGTAGTAGCAGTAGTAGTAGTAGTAGTAGTAGTAGTACAATATGTAGAACAATTAACTTGCACATGAGTAAACGATGTAAAGGTTATTACTTGGGAAACAAAAATTGGTTAGACAAATATTTCTATTGGAGGCTGGATAGAGAAGGCCTGTTTCAATGTTCATTCTCTGTAATGCCTATTTCTGCAAGAATCCTCCTGAAAACAGTAAATCCTGCCATCACATAGTCTCTCCTGTTAATACTACACAAGCACATTACAGAGAATGAACATTGAAAAAGGCCTTCTCTATCCAGCCTCCAATAGAAATATTTGTCTAACCAATTTTTATGTTTCCCAAGTAATAGCCTTTACATCATTTACTCATGTGCAAGTTAATTGTTCTACATATTGTATTACTACTACTACTACTACTACTACTACTACTACTACTACTACTACTACTACTACTACTACTACTACTACTACTACTACTACTACTATACTACTACTACTACTACTACTACTACTACTACTATACTACTACTACTACTACTACTACTACTACTACTACTACTACTACTACTACTACTACTACTACTACTACTACTACTACTACTACTACTACTACTACTACTACTACTACTACTACTACTACTACTACTACTACTACTATACTACTACTACTACTACTACTATACTACTACTACTACTACTACTACTACTACTACTACTACTACTACTACTACTACTACCACTACTACTACCACCGCCGCCGCCGCTAGTATTGCACCTTCATTCATTCATTAGAGATTTGCCGGTACTTCCGGCCCGGGTCTTCTCCAGATGGTGACCCGGCGGGGGTGTCGTTCGTCTCCTTCATTCTTCTATCTTCTCTCTTGGGCCCTCCGGTTGGAGGGTAACTTCTTCTATCTTGCATTGACTCCCCAAGTGGGGAGTGTCTTCTTGCTTGGGATCTTTGATGTCACAATTGGGCAGAGGCAGAAAACAGGGTCCCATTGGAGCCACACCCCAGCTTTAGCAGGCAGCAAAGTGCTGGGGAAACTTGTCTTGACGGTGGTGCTAGAAGAGGGGATCCTCTTCAGCAAGCTGATTATACCTGTTCCTCAGTGCTATGTGGTCGATTCCAGCATTGTTGAAGGCAGTGTAGATTTTGTTGGCAAATTCTTGTAAGTGAGGATTCACAGTGTCTTTGTTATCCTGCCCACGTTCTGGAGTTTGCATTGGGTTCTTCTTCTGGTTGGATGTGCAGTGTCCACCACTCTTGCCCTTGGTTTCTTGTTGCCGTGGGGGATTGGCGGCGGCCTGGGGAGCTGCAGCTCTTGGTTCTTGAGTTTTGGGATTCTTGACCTTGACTCCTTGGTGTGGTGTAGCAGTAGTAGCGGTGTGGGGAGTTGCAGCCCTTGCTTCTTGCGTTTTAGCTTTCTTGGATGGCGGTTGAGTTGTCCGAGGCAAGGCCTCGGCTTGGACAGTTGCGGTGGTGGTGGAGGCAGGAGGTGGTGGACTCTCATTGGTGGAATTCACCGCCGTATCAGTAGTCTCAGACTGGTCCATCTCTATGTCAGGTGGAGGTTGTGACAGTGGTGGCACAGCAGTTAAGCTGGCAATATTTGCAGTGGTTTGTAGGATGTCAGTGGAAGGTGGAGATGCAGGGAATGTGAGTTCAGGCATGTTGTTGAGTTTGAATACTTCGTTGATGGTGGAGTTGAAGGAGCCAGGCTCAGCTGCATTCTATACATGAGCATACATGATGCAACATAGGATCTTGGTGGGATCGGCAGCAGGTGCTGTGAGGAAGGTAGTAGGAGCAGCTTGCGTGGCTTGTAGGATCTTGGTAGTGTCTGCTTGAATCTTGGCAATAGCAGAATATGTGGGTACTTGTGGTTTGGGCTTCTGTTGTTGCTGTTGTTTCTTGAGTATGTCCCTTCTGATAGGGCACCTGGCAGCAAGAGTATGATGGTCATCCTTGCAGTTCAAGCATTGCGGTGGGGAAGCAGTAGTGCAATTCTTGAAGTCGTGGCCCTCAAGGCCACAGGTGGAGCAGTACTGCACCTCACTCTGAGCCTATATATACCCTCTGTGTCCATGTACTGTTTGTAACGGCTTGATAAAGCTCCTGGAGAGCGAAACGTTGCCATAATAAAATGTCACATTAGTTGCACTTGTGTCCTTTTACTTTACATATTGTCAGTAATTCTACCAACTTTATTACAAAATAATAACTAACATAAATAAAACTTATGACAAGATTTAGATAGTAATTACTTGACAATAGTGAAGGGTACCAACTAATATGGTAACAGTACACTAGATATTGAAACACACACACACTAAATACATATTCCCATATTTATGTATTATCATGTTCAACAAGATATATATGTTCATTAACAAAGTTCCAGAGCAATATCAGACTTAATCTTTCACACACTAAATAACATAATACAGTGGACCCCCGGTTTACGATCAGCTCCCAATGCAACCAATTATGTAAGTGTATTTATGTAAGTGCGTTTGTATGTGTATGTTTGGGGGTCTGAAATGGACTAATCTAATTCACAATATTCCATATGGGAACAAATTCGGTCAGTACTGGCACCTGAACATACTTCTGGAATGAAATACTATCGTAAACCGGGGGTCCACTCTATAACATTATAGCTCCTAATGAAACATTTACAGAGCAGTACTACCTCAATCATTAAAAAACCATCCTGGCACAAGACACTTCAGAAAGCCACCCCCTGCCATCCCCTGACCCCATACTGTCTATATTAAAAAGCACAAACTCACGTTCCCTTTCATGCTCAAGCCCGTACCTGACGTCTAAAGTCATAAAACCCCTGTCTCTTAACCAAAAGTCACCAGTTCACCCCCCCTATGCCCCCCCTCATTCCTAACGACTTTACACCCATATACTCCACTACCACACACTTTTATTCCGCCTTCCATCCTCCACTAATCTCAAAACAGAACAAAAGTGCCAGTTTAGGGAAAAACAACCCATTCCAGCTCTAAATTACATCCAACCCTAACATTACACCTACCGTCAGATTGCGATAACCCAAGGGAAAACTATTTACCCACACCCTTCCATATAGTAGCCTATTTCTGCAAACTGTACGATACACACTCGCCGCAAGCGCCCGCACCCTACAATCACCTCCCACCTCCCGCATGCACCAAGACACATACAAAAAATCTGCCACCACATACATCACTGCCCTCTGAATGTCCTTGGAAACCCCGCCCACATCAAAATGCAAAGCCCTCAAAGTCGAAATGTTTCTCCCTCCTCCCGCCACTATACCCAGGACCCTCGCTAACCATGTCCTTACAACCTCCAAGTTTTCACAAAAATATACAGCATGAAAAGCAGTCTCCTCTTCCCCACAATGCAAACAAGTGCCCACACCTACATAACCCATTCTATATAGCACTGACCTTGAAGCTAGAATTCCCATAAAGAACCTATATACCACTTCATGAACCCTTGGCTTTAATCTAATCTTCCGAAAGTCTTCCCAAATGCCCCTCCAATCATACATCGGGTATGTTGCTACTCCCTGTATCACTTCACCCTGCCTACCTGTCCTCCCAAGCCTACTTACCCTTACTTTTCTTGCATCCCGTATTGCCAACAAATTACGCACCATATCTTCACACACCAATAACGCCTTCCCCTTCCACCATTTTTGCACATCCTCCATGACCTCTCCCACCCTTCTACCCCTCTCCCCTCCCGCCCTCAAGTACCGCTGCTTCACATACACTGCCTTCACGCGTGTGTCCAAAGGTATAAGACCCAGCCCACCCTGCCGCATGCCCATCATCACCACCTCCTTCCTTAGCCATGGCCTCCCATAACCCCACACATACCTCAAAACCACTCTCTCCAGTTCCTGAATATATCATGACCTCAGGGGATATACTTCTGCCACTCCCCACACTTTACTATACCCAAGTGTGTTTACTACCACCACCCTCTGCTGCAACGTTACATCCCCGGCCCTCCACCCGCGCATCCTACCCATTGCTCTACTCACAACATCCTTGGAATTTATGCTCTGCGCCTCCCCCGCGTCCGCCATGTACACAACCCCACATATCTTAATTCTATCCACTACGTTCCACCCATACAGTTCCCCCTCCCCCCGGGTGGAAACATTAGGCGTGTTTCTTTACACCTGCTGTCCCTGTTCACCTAGCAGCAAGTAGGTACCTTGGTGTTAGCTGACTGTTGTGGGTCGCATCCTGGGGGACATTGTAGATTAACCTAAGTTAATAATAATAATATCTTTATTTCTACAAGTACAAGGTATACAGACCATAGCTGACATCAGTGACATACTACTATATAGAAAGCCGCTTGTTATGCAGAGCATTTCGGGCAAATAAGCTCAATTTTGCCCCAGGATGCAACCCACACCAGCCCACTAACACCCAGGTACCCATTTTACTGATGGGTGAACAGGGACAGCAGGTGTTTTATGGAAATAGTACATCCTAATATTTTCCAGACATACTGGGGATTTGATCCCCGGGCCTCAGTGAGTGAGAATGTACGTACTAGCAATCCAGCAAGTTGCCTGAAATGCTCTGCATAACTAGGGGCTTTCAATTAGTATGTCATTGATGTCAGCTAGGTCTGTATGAGTTGTATCATATACTTGTAAAAATACTACTACTACTACTACTACTACTACTACTACTAATTATTATTATTCTGTACATTAGAGCAGTCTCATCTACGTGAACCAAATTGCATGCATCAAAGCAATACTCTTGCTCTTTGCTTTACTTTGAATATCTTGTATAACAAAGTTTTTGATTCTAATTATTCTGGGTGGATGCAATTCCTATAGTATAATAAATCAATACATTATGCATATTTCATCTGAAATTACGTTGTTGTCAACAAAGTATTATTTTGTATACATCTCTTATATTGATGAGTTACTGCGCGCGCGCGCGCGCCACACACACACACA